GGCTTGCTAAAGCGGCGGGTGCGGAGCCATCTAGGGAGATGAGAGATGAAAAATTGCACGGCGTTGTGGCGCGAAGCACATTTCGAAGTCAAAATGCTAAAAGCGCCTCATTGCCGGAGTACTTTTGGAAGTTCAGATGTCGAAACAGTGCCGCCGGCTGTGGCGCGAAGCGCATTTGGAAGTCAAAATGTTAAAAGCACCAGATGTTCTAAAAGTTTTTGGATGTTCAGATGTTCAAAAGCACATTTCGAAGTAAAAGGTGTTAAAAACTGGCGTTCTAGGAGCATTTTTGGAAGTTAAGATGTTGAAAAAGCGCAGGGCGTGTTGGCGCGAAGCACATTTCCAAGTAAACAAAACACGACATGCTCGGACCGCGTTTAGAGGTTCAGATGCGGAATAAATGCATGCCGTTGTGGCGCGAAGCACATTTCGAAGTCAAAACGGTAAAATCACCACATGTCCGGACCGCTTTTGGAGTTCAACCGCGCCACGCTACACAACGACGACGGCGACGACGACGACAACAACAATAACTGCCGCTACTGCTACTACTACTACGACGACGATCACCACCACCACCACCACAACAACAACCACAACAACCACAACAATCACAACACCACACTGCCACTACTACCACTACTACCACTACTACCACTACTACCACTACTACCACTACTACCACTACTACCACTACTACGACTACTACCACTACTACCACTACTACCACTACTACCACTATTACCAGTACTACCAGTACTACCACTACTACCACTACTACCACTACTACCACTACTACCACTACTACCACTATTACCACTACTACCACTACTACCACTACCACTACTACCACTACTACCACTACTACCACTACTACCACTACTACCACTACTACCACTACTACGACTACTACCACTACCACACTGCTACTGCTACTACCGCTGCTGCTGCTGCTCCTACTACTACTGCTGCAGCTGCTGCTACTACTGCTACAACGACAACAACAACAGCTACAGCTACAGCAACAGCAACAACAACTACAGCAACAACTGCAGCAACAACTACAGCAACTACAGCAGCGACAACAACGACAACGACAACAACAACATCATCATCAACAACAACAACAAAAACAACCACAACCACAACCACAACCACAACCACAACCAACAACAACAACAACAACAACAACAAGTACAACAACAAGTACAACAACAAGAACAACAACAATTACAACAACAACAATTACAACAACAATTGCAACAACAATTACAACAACAATTACAACAACAATTACAACAACAATTACAACAACAACTACAGCAACAACAACAACAAGTACAACAACAAGTACAACAACAAGTACAACAACAAGTACAACAACAAGTACAACAACAATTACAACAACAATTACAACAACAATTACAACAACAACAACAATTACAACAACAATCACAACAACAATCACAACAACAATTACAACAACAATTACAACAACAATTTCAACAACAATTTCAACAACAAATACAACAACAATTACAACAATTACAACAACAATTGCAACAACAATTGCAACAACAGTTACAACAACAATTACAACAATAATTACAACAACAATTACAACAACAATTACAACAACAATTACAACAACAATTGCAACAACAATTACCACAACAATTACAACAACAATTACAACAACAATTACAACAACAACTACAGCAACAACAACAACAACAACAACAAGTACAACAACAAGTACAACAACAAGTACAACAACAAGTACAACAACAATTACAACAACAATTACAACAACAATTACAACAACAACAACAGTTACAACAACACCAGTTACAACAACAATCACAACAACAATTACAACAACAATTACAACAACAATTACAACAACAATTACAACAACAATTACAACAATTACAACAACAATTACAACAACAATTACAACAACAATTACAACAACAATTACAACAACAATTACAACAACAATTGCAACAACAATTGCAACAACAATTAAAACAACAATTGCAACAACAATTGCAACAACAATTACAACAACAATTACAACAATAATTACAACAACAATTACAACAACAATTACAACAACAATTACAACAACAATTGCAACAACAATTACAACAACAATTACAACAACAATTACAACAACAATTACAACAACAATTACAACAACAACAACAACAACACCACCAACAACAACAACAACAACAACAACAACACCAACACCAACACCACCACCACCACCACCACCAACAACAACAGCAACAGCAACTGCAACTGCAACTGCAACTGCAACTGCAACTGCAACCACAAATGCGACCACAACTACAACTGCGACGACAACTGCAACTACAATTACAACAGCAATAACGATAACTACCACAACTACAACTAAAGCTACAACTACAAGTACAATTCCTTCAACCGCAGCTACAGCTACAACTACAACTACCACGACACTACACTACACTACACTATTACACTACGCTACACTTTGCTACACTCCACTACATTACAACTACAACTACAACGGGAACTGCAACTGCAACTACAGCTGCAGCTCCACGAAACGACACTACACTACACTCCGCTTCGCTCCACTCCACTTCGCTACACTCCACTTCACCACACTCCACTTCACCACGCTCCACTACCACACTCCACTTCACCACACTCCACTTCACCGCACTCCACTTCACCACACTCCACTTCACCACTTCACCACACTCCGCTTCACCACACTCCACTTCACCACACTCCACTTCACCACACTCCACTTCACCAGACTCCACTACCACTACCACTACCACTACCACTCCACTCCACTCCACTACCACTACCACTACCACTCTACTACCACTACCACTCCTCTTCTACTACTGCTACTACTACTACTGCTGCTGCTGCTACTACGACTACTACTACTACTACTACTACTCTTGTTTTTGCTACTGCTGCTACTACAACTACAACTGCAACTACTACTACAACTGCAACTACAACAACAACTACAGCAGCAACAGCAACAACAACAGCAACAGCAACAGCAACAGCAACAACAACAACAACAGCTACAGCTACAGCTACAACTGCAACAGCAGCAACAACAACCACTACAACAGCAACAACAACAACAACTACTACAGCAACTACAGCAACGACAACGACGACAAGAAAAAGAAGAAGAAGAAGAACAACAACAACAACAACTACAACAACAACTACAGCAACTACAACCACAACTGCAACCACAACTACAAGTACTTTTACAACAGCAATAACTACTACAACTACAACTACAGCTACAACTACAATTCCACTACACTACGCACCACTTCACCGAACTGCACTACCATTACAACTACAACTACAACTACATCAACTACAACTACAATACATATACAGCTGCAGCTGCAACTACAATTACATTGCGCTACACTACACCACACTACATCCAGCAGTTGTGGTTGAGGTGACCGCTGCAACCACCCCAAAAAGCACAACTCCAACCACCTTTCGGTCCATCAGTGGATTCGCGCTGCCATCCATGCATCACAACAACTCACTTCGCCTATAGCGTCCTATCTTTGAAACCTCCGCCGCCGCCGCCGCCTTGTGCGGTACTACTGGTATGGCATTGATACCATGTTGGCACCCCATTCATACACATCATACAATCACACGCACACACACACATACACATATATATATATATATATAGGTATATGCATAAACAGATACATGATCATATATAGATATATGTCTGTTTAGTGTACATTCAATTGTGTCGATACATTGCATGCATAGAAATTAAATTCAAGGCATCTGAATTCAATTTTAATGTATTTGGGTCCGTGATAAGCCCACTGGATAGGGCCCCTACCCACCAGAGCATACCAGAGCCACAACTGCTGCCGTCTACTGCCATATTGGCGCTTGAAGCTGTCAACAAGGATAGGAGAGAATGATGGGCAACGGACGGCATCACCGTCACCATCTCCATGATCACCATCATCATCGTCATCATGTTTTTCAGGTTCATGATTGACCAAATCTAAGCCTCCTTCAACATAAACATCATGTGCAAGTAAGCCTTCATCTTCGTGCTCAGCCATATTAAGGTGGACCAACACCCCAATTATGCCAATACACCCAAAAACCAAAATCCATGTACCAAGCATTTCTATGTATTTCTGTGATCCAAAAATCGATGCACCGGGGGGTATCAGCAAACCAAAAACAATGCACCCAGGGCATCGGCAGACCAAAATCGATGTACCAAACCAGATCTGGTGCATTGATTTTCTGGACTCGAGATTTTCTGGCGCCAGGTGCGTTGATTTTTGGAAGCACTAGCCGCTCGGAAATCGCAAAAAACATCTTAGTGCATTGATTTTATGCTGCTGGCTCAACATGTAATTAATGCACCAAACTGGATTAGGACATTGATTCGTTAGGGGTATCCTCATTTGAAAATCAATGTCCTACCCTCAAAAACCAAGGTTTTCAATGCACCAAATCAAGTTTGGTGCATTGATTTTTATGTTGAGCCAGCAGCATAAAATCAATGCACTAAGATGTTTTTCTGCGATTTCCGAGCAGCTAGTGCTTCCAGAAAATCTCGAAAGTCCAGAAAATCAATGCACCAGATCTGGTTTGGTACATCGATTTTGGTCTGCCGATGCCCTGGGTGCATTGTTTTTGGTCTGCGAACCCCCCAGGTGCATTTATTTTGGTTTGCTGATACCCCCCGGTGCATCGATTTTTGGATCACAGAAATACATAGAAATGCTTGGTACATGGATTTTGGTCCGCTGCAATGCTTGGGCGCATTGACGTGTATATGGGTATAGTTTCTGTAGCTTTAGTCTGATCATGAAGCTGAAGACCGACTTGCTTGTGATGAGCAAGGTGATAACGACGATGATGACTATGAAGAAGACTTAGGTCAATCACATAGGTTATTATGTAAAATGATTTTTATTTCTGACGGTGATGCCACCGGTTGCCCATCATCTCTCTTATCCTTGATGGCAGCTGCAAGTGTCAATATGGTAGTAGACGGTAGTTACTTTGGCTCTGGTGGGTAAGGGGCCTACCTAGTGGGCTTATCACGGACCCAAATACATTAAACATTGATTTAGATACCTTGAATTTAAGTATATTGCTATATTCAATGCCATTCCTCTCTTGGACCCAATGTATATTTGGCAAAAAATACATCCACCGTGCTTGTTGTTCCAAGGTGTCATGAGTCGTGAAATTAGTTGAACCACAATGACGAAGTAGAAGGGTTAAAACAGAAACAAGGGCTCGCTTTTTGGCAGGAAACTTTACATCGTTTATCGCACAAGGAAAGAACACATCACAACACCGGTTGATGTTTCAGATGCTTGTCATTTTATCATTATTTGGGATGATGACCCTCAATGACCAATAGTTACAGGGGTTGAAACCACAAACCAGAACATGATGGAACAGGACACTTGTGACTCTTAGACTCCCTTCTCTCTTATGACGTTTTATGATGAGATACATCCACATGCACTTGACATGTTTCCAAGGTACACTACTTGCTACCACTGGGCCTTCTGCCAGATGGGTGTGGGTGGTATTGCCATCTATCCGACCAACACCTACGAGCGATCCTTTGGCCGCTTTGACGCGCATTGACGAGGATTCAAAAACAGTAGGAAACCGATGCGGCCATCGGCAATAGCTTATGATTATGTCAAGATAGGGGTCAGAATCTTGCCTGCGATTCTTCCCTCATTATGTTCTTGCCTAGAAATTGAAGAAGGACGTGTACGCTTTGTGCAGATAAAATTGCCATAGCCTCAACACTCAACACTCTCAGTAGATTGCAGGGTCCTTTGCATGAAGCTTTAGTCGGATTCGCCCTCAAAAATTTGCGTTGGAAGACACACTATAAATGTCACATTTGCTTAAAGGTCGAACATCTTTGTCTCTTGACTACAAAGACGACAATTGAGTGCAAGACTTGAAGACCCAAGATGACCCAACATGGCCCAGCATGACTCAGCACCCTTGCCCTGTCCCTGAGGCATTTTTGCAGCTTTTGTCGCTCTGATGACGTTCTCCACGCTTGTGAGTAAGATGACTTCGCTGATGTCAAGCTTAAACAAGTTGAAAGATGAGGAGACAGAACAATTTCGATTCTTGCACGCACGAGGTTGGAACTCAACAGCAGTTCAGGAGCACTGTAGGACTTTCTCCCTAGGTCTACGCGTATCACAGTACACCGGAACCTAAGGACTTCTCCGTCGTTATCTCATTTACAACGACATCCCACTACACCTCAGTCAGCGCATTGTCCGCTTCCTCCAACATGGGCATTCTGGCTAGCACTGGAAAAATGCCTTCTTGAAGGGAACAACTGATGACCATACGGATCAATATTGATCAATCTCAGCGTGCTGCAAGTCTCAGTGTAAGCTGGTTTCTTTCCTCGTATTGTGGGGTCATCTCTCCCAGCAGCTGGTTTTTTCAGCGCCAAAGAGTCATTCTCCATCAAGAGGATTTAAAGTTTTCCACAATAATCCACATATTTCGGAGCCGTGGATGAATCAACCAGCAGCTAAGCACGCTTTGTCCAGGTATCGGATTCGCAACGAGGCACTCTCGGCTGGGAGCCATTTGCCCATCCTGGACCTGCTCTCGCAATCACTTCGAGGCTGCGGCTCTTTGCAGCTGTTACCTGCAGCTATCTTTCCATACCTTTGCCTGTGGTTATCCAGATATCCAGTTATCCCTGGTATTCAAATTTATTCAATAGACAAAGCCATGGATTGTTTAGCCATGGACATATCCGGAGGTGAGCTGCAGCTCGAACGCCATCGCAACTGTTTGATTGAGATGCAGTTCATTCAGCAGCTCCCACCTGAGAATCGCTCCCTGGCACTGTCAGTTGGGAAGGCTTCAATGAGGAAAAAGTATGATTGACCATGGCATGTTAAGGTATGCTTCAGACAAATTCAAAGAAGTAGATGCCGGAGAAATGGCCATCCAAATAATTCTTGCAGATGTTGACTATTGCCAGTTTCCAGGTTTCTACAAGAGGTTGCAAAAGTGCGGTAGCTTCTGACTCCTATCGAGCAACTATAGAGGAACTAGAGATTGCGCAGAGAAGGCAAACCAATGGCTTGATTCGGCTTGATTTGGTCGGAAAGTGAAGGCATCGTATGTCACCGATCCGCTCCACACCTCAGAGCCGTCATGAGCGCTAGGGGTGGAAAGCTCGATGCCTTCAGACATCCGCCGCCATTTTTGAATGTTAATGATTTATGGTGATATCAGTATATATCAGTGATGTCCATGATAGAATAACCACTAAGAACCAATAATAACATTTGATAACTATGAACAAGCATTGTTTCTGCATTTTCCATTGCAAAAAGCAGTGGGTCAGATTTTTCAGGACAGACCATTCAAGTGATGCAAAAGCTAGCCGTGAATGCCTTGGGGGACACCGTGGTCGCTCATGATGATGTGCTCTTTGGTGCGGGCGATTCCGCTGAAGCTGCATACTTTGTTCAGAGCGGTCGGCTGCAACCTGGCCATCAGATATTTCAGATGGGGCTTTCTCAAAATGGATCCCCAAGTCACCATGGTTGCTTTAAACCTAAAATGGTCATCCATGACTTGGATGATTTGGGGGTGTACGTGACAAAACGGAACCCCCAGATCCAGTTTTGGGGCTGGGGAGGCCATTTGATGCTGTGCTGAACCATGAGGAACTATCACTGGGGGGAAGAAGACGATAGTGATGGAGGGATACCTGTGAGTCGTTGCTTGGCATACCAGGCGGCCTGGAAGGATCATCGATGTGGATGGTAAACGTTCATAGACTCTTATTGATTAGACACGTAGGTAAAAACTATTGACACTTATTGATTATCCGAACTAGAACACCACCGGTTATTATATTAGCTAAGACCGTATTGATGTTCATACCTATAAGCAATTGGGGATCTACTAGCTATTCTAATACTTCGTATTGAAAAATATCTCGGTTATCATACTTATCATCATGTCATTGTTAACTATCATGCTGCACCAACATCAGCCTTAATCATCATATCTGTTGGAACATCACTTTTAAGTATCTGTTGGAGATGAAGCATCCGCAATAGTTAGGTGATGTGAAAAATAGGATAGTGACCAAACCCTGTAAATGTGACCATCATCATTAAGTATAAAAATTCGATTTGATCATCTAACATCATCTAACTATGAATGACACTTTGAAAGTTATTAAGTACCAACGGTATAGCCATTAAGGTTACATATATTTATATAGCATCAAGTAAACCATGAATTACCGAGGTATAAAAGGTAGTACACAACATGTAAATTACTTCGGTATCTGGTTATTGCTTCTAAGGTTATACAAAATAGTTATACACATATTATTTATAGCACTTTTAAGTAAAGCATGTTTTTCCCGGTATAAGTTAATAGCATGTAAAATACTTGGGGACATGGTTATTGCTGTTCCTCGTACAAGCCTTGCACAATTCATCATTATTATCATAGTTCGATATGATCATGTAATGTATGACGATGAACTAAACCATAGGTATAGCCATTTAGGTGATATTACTGCCCTTAACCATAGCTATCTATAACCATCAATTGCCTACTAGGTATAACCATTAATCATCAATCTATCCCCAGAGGTGCTTTTAACCGCTAATATACCATAATATGATTCCTTATTACACCACAGTTTCTTTAAATAATATAGAGTATAGTATACATAACCCATGAATACACGCAATATGATACTACAATTAATGCACAACAATGTTTACCTAGGTATAACCATCAATATACCATCAACAGCTAAATAAATAAATAGATAACCAAGTGGATAAATATAAATAAATATAAATATAATTGTAAATGTAAATATAAATGTAAATATAAATATAAATGTAAGTATATAAATAAATAAATAAATATATATATATATAAATGCAAATATAAATAAATAGTATATATATATATTTGTGTACGCATATAAAAATGGCATATGAATACGAATGATTTGCTAATGGTATATCAACGGTATTTTTTAAAACACTTTCCCGTTCGAAGCGCTGAGGAAACGTTTGGATCGCCGAAATGGCCTTGTGGACTCCATGGACCCACCTGGGAGATCTCGTCTCAGAGGACGTCAGTCGCCTGGTCGTTCTGCACGTGGAGCAATTCTGCGCCGCGGCACCGGAAAAATGTGTGGAAAGAATGGGATGGCCACCAAGGAAAATTATGAGATTTCACCCGTAAACATAGGGTTGTTTGTAAACCTATAGTAAATCATTGCCACAATGGGGGGGAAATTTGTTGTTTTACCTCTATATTTAGCTAATTTACCCCCTTATCCCCCCCTTTGTATCTGGGGTCTTGGGAGCAATGAGCAATTAGGGAAACAACGGGATTCAACAAACAATGTGGTGTTTACCCAAGGCCATAAGCCTTCCAGAAATCAACCATTTGGGGTCATTTTACATCTCAAGTAGTTCATGGTGGTACACTGGGGGTTTACTGTAATGTGGGTGTAATGGGGAGATACTGCATCAAAGTTTGTGTAGTAACATTGAATATGGTAAGTCTAGACAAAATTACTTTCCAAACTGTTCCAATAGCTTACAATTTGCATTCCGTGGATTTTGCCATTGATTTTGCCTGTGGAATGACTTCTGCCTAGGCAAATGCGTTCGTGAGAGTGGTGAGTGTCAACCTGCAGCTGTGGCCTATGCGAAGGCTGCTGGCACCATGTATTTTGTTTGTATTTCCAGATAATGTGGGAAACCCATTGCCAGAACCTACCATTTGGGGATGGTTTATACCACCCATTTACGGTGATTTTGGGATGGTTTATCATTGGGTTGACCACATTAGTCTTGTCTCTGACAACCCAAGCGACACATACGCTACAATCAGAGGCAGTATCCCCGGCAGGACTACGTGGATGAGCTAAAGAGCAGAAATAGCAACATGAACGACCTCTTCATCTCGCGTCGGGACAAGCAACCGGCCCGCGTGTCCCGACAAGCCTCGAATCTAGGCCCAACCATGGAGCAGTTGTGCTGCAGTTTTTTCTTGGAACTTGGGGTTCCGTGTAGTCATTTGTATTAATGCTCTCCATGCCTCACCACCCCGCCGCTGGAAGTTACACTTAGGATGCACTCGGCAATGGCGGATGGTTCTTTTGGTTGCTGCCGTGGCTTCTGGAGAACTCCGAAGACGAAGACCAATGTACTTCCAATGGATGGCTGAGCGCAACCATTTTCAAGCGGGAAGAGAGGAAGTGCCTGTTAGTATTCCATTAAATACATAACACACTATCCATTACCTATTGATTAAATCTCTGTGTTGTTGGTCTATATCCGCTGTTTGTTTGCCCTGACTGCCTCTTCCAAGCAAACCCATGCACTTTCCAAGGAACAGTGACAGTGAAGGGGCTTCAACAATTTGAATGGCTGACCTGTGGACACTATTCACCAGACATTTTTTCCAACCATGCACAAGCAGTGCAGTTACAATTTACAAACCAAGGCATACATATGGGGATGAATCAACAAAACAGATTATCAAAGTTTTGTGTGTGGTGTGTGTGTAACATCTGAATAGATGTAAAACTTCTCTCTTTTTCTTCCTTCTGTCCTCTCCCTTTCTAATAATAATAACAATGCAGGGGGACAGGGACAGAGCTCTCTGATGCTACTCTGTCCAACGAAGCTATGCATCAGAGAGGGAAGCATCCACTGGCCATGGATGTGTACCTGCAAACAGGTCTAATGGTCTAGGCTGGTTTGCACGTTACAGGACTCAGTTCCTGACGGATCACTATAATGATCCAGTTCTTGTCTAGTGTGATTTCCATGGTGGCTCCGACATGGTGCCATGGAGCCATTTGAGGCAACCCTTTTCAGGGTGAATGATGACTGTCCTGACTTCCGAATTCACACATTTTAATTTGGTAATTCGATTAAGTAAAGCGAAACAGCTGGCCTTACCGTTTTCCAGCCTTTTAGGGTTGTCCCGCTGGTCCGTTGGTCCCAAAATTCCTCGCCGAAATGCCTGTCTATCAGAGTGAAGCCGTTCGGAACAATTAGAAATTTCGTTTTTTTAGCTGCAGCTTTAGTGAGTGAAGTGACATGTGCACTACTACACGACACAGAGATCAGGCAGGTACATGGCCTTAGGTGTGGTCCTTTTTTGCTTTTTGTGGTTGTCTGGTGAGGTCAAACATGTTGTGCACCTAATTCGTTGGAATTTGAACAGCTGTTTATGCCCTTGTGGCTGACCTGACTACCGTCCCGGCAAGGGAACAACGCACGACCTCTAGGTATTTAGGGACTGAGTTCTGATTTTTAAACTAATTGTTTTGGTTTTTCTTGTTTGCCATCAACTAATCCCCCATTTGGTCCCTAATTCCGCGCGTGCCTCTCCGTAATGTGTCGTGGGGTTTAGGTGTGTGCACTGCTTTGGTCAGGTCCGTTTCGCCGTGTAGGTTGGTTTTGGAGGTCCGTCTGTTCCCCTCCCCCCCCCGCGCTGTTTTGGCCTTTTGCCCGTCGTCTGTTTTCGCTTTTTTCTTCCTCTTGCCTTTCAGGGTTGACCCGGCTCTGGCCGGGTGTGTGTGTGTGTCCGTGTGTGTGTGTGTAACATCTGGATAGATGTAAAACTTCTCTCTTTTTCTTCCTTCTGCCCTCTCCCTTTCTAATAATAATAACAATGCAGGGGGACAGGGACAGAGCTCTCTGATGCTACTCTGTCCAACGAAGCTATGCATCAGAGAGGGAAGCATCCACTGGCCATGGATGTGTACCTGCAAACAGGTCTAATGGTCTAGGCTGGTTTGCACGTTACAGGACTCAGTTCCTGACGGATCACTATAATGATCAGTTCTTGTCTAGTGTGTGAATCCATAAATCCCACATTAATTTTTGGAGTGAGAAGCGATTCCATGGGTATAGCACCCCATAGCCATATACATACAGAACAAATATACCATCCAGAACAATTTCCAGCAACATTTTAGTTGAAGTTGGCTTCAGGTTTGCATCAATCGCCGAAGATGCTCCTGGTATTGAACAAAACGGCCTGGCAAAGCCAACGGCCATTGCAGGGGGTGACAGGGTCTTTCTTTTGAATTCCATTTTCAATAATTTTCATATACATGCTCATCATTGTTTTGAGGGATCTCCAAGTTTGGAACCAGTTTGGGCCTTTTTGGATTTCGAAGTCAGCATGCAGTGGTTCGGGGTGTGCAACTTGCCGGCAGCCCTGCTGAAGCAAAAAGTCTCATGACACCCTACTGCACGCTTTGTCGATACCTCTTTGGAATACATTATATAGGCTTCTGGAAAGAGCGTATTCATTGAATTTCGTTGATGGTGAAGGCTTCTCTTGCAATTTTGCATTAGATGATCTCAAGCTGACGTATACAGTTCTAGAACAACCATGAATAACTCATGTGCAATATCATTGCTAGGAACTGGCATGGCATGAGAAGTGACAGGAACAGAATCGCACTTTCTAGAGTTGCCACAGCCACTACGGCATGCCAAACCGTTTCACCAACTAAGAGTGAGCAGTCTTGAGTTAAAAAGAAAATAGGGCCTATAGGGATGCCGTGGGACTTGATGATGCAGAGCCAATAATACAATTTAATTTACAGTAGGGAGGGGAAGGGGAAGGGGAAGGAAGGAAGGGGAAGGGGAAGGAAGGAAGGGGGAAGGGGGGAAGGGGAAGGGGAAGGGGAAGGGGAAGGAAGGGGAAGGAAAAGGGAAGGAAAGGGAAGGAAAAGGAAGGAAAAGGAAGGACAAGGAAGGACAAAAGGAAGGAAAAGGAAGGAAAAGGAAGGACAAAAGGAAGGACAAAAGGAAGGACAAAAGGAAGGACAAAAGGAAGGACAAAAGGAAGGACAAAAGGAAGGACAAGACGAAAGGAAGGAAAAGGAAGGACGAAAGGAAGGACGAAAGGAAGGACAAAAGGAAGGACAAGACGAAAGGAAGGAAAAGGAAGGACGAAAGGAAGGACGAAAGGAAGGACGAAAGGAAGGAAAAGGAAGGACGAAAGGAAGGAAAAGGAAGGACGAAAGGAAGGACGAAAGGAAGGACGAAAGGAAGGAAAAGGAAGGAAACGGGAGGACGAAAGGAAGGAAAAGGAAGGACGAAAGGAAGGAAAAGGAAGGACGAAAGGAAGGAAAAGGAAGGACGAAAGGAAGGACGAAAGGAAGAAGGAAGGACGAAAGGAAGGACGAAAGGAAGAAGGAAGGACGAAAGGAAGGACGAAAGGAAGAAGGAAGGACGAAAGGAAGGACGAAAGGAAGGACGAAAGGAAGGACGAAAGGAAGGACGAAAGGAAGGAAAAGGAAGGAAACGGGAGGAAAAGGAAGGAAAAGGAAGGACGAAAGGAAGGAAAAGGAAGGACGAAAGGAAGGAACAGGAAGGACGAAAGGAAGGAAAAGGAAGGACGAAAGGAAGGACGAAAGGAAGGACGAAAGGAAGGAAGAAAGGAAGGACGAAAGGAAGGACGAAAGGAAGGACGAAAGGAAGGACAAAAGAAAGGAAAAACTAAGGGCACAAATGTTGCCAGAAAAGATGCCAAAGATAATGGCCAAAGATATTGCCACAGAATATCCGGTAGGATATCGGATTGGTTTCAGAAACCACGTCAGAATACAGGCCAGTCAGTTAATATAATATCAGAAAGAAAGTCAGATAGAGTTTCAGCTAAAATGTCCAATGGCAAATCAGAATCTGTTTGCTGTATATACTTTCAAATGGTATGGCAGAAATTTTACCGCGAGAATGTATTAGGCGGGATCACTTGAAGTAAAGTAATTTGGTTGCTAGATTGCATGTGAAAACAGGTATTGTCATTCTGCTTTGGGGGGAGGCGCTGCGCCCTTGTTTTTGTTTTGACCTAATACCTATGCGGGTACATGCATGAGTACTGAGCACATGTATATGCGCCCTTCAAGGCTCAAGAGGTATATAGAGTAACCCTGTGGACACCGCACGGACTGGCAATACGCCGAGAGTAAAAAACGTGTGAGCTGTCTTGGGAAGACGCCTTAGCTGATCTTGAATAGACGCTAAAACATATTTGTGCCTGCGGACCGAAAACCGTTCCCGTAAAACGCACGTTTTTGAATATCGCGATTGTGGGGTGGGGTGGGGTGGGATGGGGTGGGGTGGGGTGGGGGGGCATGTTAACGTTCCTTGTACTTCGTACATGATATATTGCCATGCTGCTAAGATCTCTGGGATTATTTACTACGTTACATGTTGCTACGCTGCTGAGATCTCTGGTATCGTTTACTACGTTACATGTCGCTACGCTGCTGAGATCTCTGGTATCGTTTGCTACGTTACATACATGTTGCTACGCTGCTGAGATCTCTGGTATCGTTTACTACGTTACATACATGTTGCTACGCTGCTGAGATCTCTGGGATCGTTTACTACGTTACATACATGTTGCTACGCTGCTGAGATCTCTGGTATCGTTTACTACGTTACATACATGTTGCTACGCTGCTGAGATCTCTGGGATCGTTTACTACGTTACATACATGTTGCTACGCTGCTGAGATCTCTGAGATCTCTGAGAGCTTGGCAATGGAGATGCATTCACAAGAATGCTGACTGCCAGCTGTTTGCTACGCATGCGTTGCAGCGATGACGCTGAAAAACGAAAAAACGCGCCCCAAGTTTTTCCAGGATTTCCAATCATCAAATTAGCACGGCACTGTGGTAAAATCACCATTTTTTTAAAAACTGTGCGTTTTATGGGAACGGTTTCCGGTCCGGCGGGATATTTGTGTAGCCAATATTTTTTTGATCCTACTGATTTATTTTTTTGATCTGGAACAAATTTTTTCTTGATCCCTCACTCCATTTCATCGGCGGATGCCAACGATATTTGTTTCTACAGTGCGGTGTTGTTGTTGCTTCCGAGCTGTGCATGAAACGAACCTTGGAAGGGATGTCCTTGAACTATCACAGCGCATGCAATCACATCTTCCGATGCACGAAAAGCCAGCAAGTGCGCAACATGCATCTTGTCAGGAGAATTGTTTGCGAAAAACCGAATTCTGATGCAAACACGTTTATAGTTTATGTTGGAGAAGGGAACCCCTGAATTCAGGGTATAGTGGTCAGTCCTTGCTGGGTCTTGGGTCTACGGGTGGACTTTGTTCGAAGCAGTTTGGCTTGCTGCGGGAAGATGTTGCTGGTTGCCACTGCCAGCTTGCTGTCATTGTGTTTTGTGCTTCATGGTTGCAAATTCCACGGGTGAAAACGAGGCTCTGTCTCCTTCTCTTCCCAACTAGCTTCAGAAGGTCTTCGATAGCCACTCAACAAGCCGAATCAATCAAGTACTGTAGCCATTTCATGAAACAACCGATAGAGAGCCATCGACCAACAAAAAATGAACAGCCAACCGATGAATCTATCTACAATTCAACCTATCAATTAATCAGTCAGTCAATCAATCAATCGATCAATCAATCAATCAATCAATCAATTAGTCAATCAATCCATCCATCAATCAATCAACCCATTAATCAATCAATCGTCACCTGATCAATCAGTGTATCATGCACTGACGGCTTCCTGTTGAGCTCTGCCTCGATGTCGGGTACTCCGTTGAACACGGCTCCGCAGGAGACCCTGGAAGCAGGAAGAGAACAGGGACAATGCCGTATCAACGCCGTATCTGCCTGGAGTATGGACCAGATCTTATTGCTCCATGCCGAAAAGGGAGTGGCAAATGGGTTCATCGTCGTTGTTTGGACTGGCGGGCGCGTGGTCAAGGGTCTCGCACTTTCATTCATTGTCCAAATTGTCATTTCGGCTGATGGACTTGATGCGGGCACCCACGGAGACCGAGCAGCATTTGCGTGAGCGCCGTCGCGCTGTGCTCGGATGCTGCAGCTGTTGCTTTGCACAGTTGCTGTGCTCATCAGGTCGGTGGATAGTGACGAAGAGCTGGTGGAGATCATGCCCTTCTGGAGTCCAGTCCGCCCCGGAGTCCCCGGAGAGTCCAAGTGCTCCTCCTTGCAAGCTTTTCGATACCACAAGACCACCTACTACTTCGCCTCAGTGGTGTTCAGCTTGGCCATGACAGGTCTGGGGGTTGTCATCTACTACGCTGCCAAGCTTTGTGCCAAGTGCTGCGCAAGAAAAGAAGTTGCGTCAGACGCTGATAACTCAAGTTCGTCGTCGGACAGCACGAAGTGAAAGTCCCTGTGGATGTGCAGGCCGAGTTGATGGGCGTCAGTGCAACTGCAACTGCTGCGATGTCTATTGCGACACCTGCTGCTGCTGGCGGTCCCCGGACTACGCGAGTCGCTCAGTCTTCTACAAGAGTGGTGGCTATGACGGCTACGACTACCACCGTGGTGGGGACTGCTGCAGGGACTGCATTATTTGCTGCCAGGATTGTTGCGACTCGTGTCGCCGGGAGCCCTGCTGCGCTGGCAGTTGTTTTCTTGGTGATCTTCGTGTTCCTGGTCTTCATTGGGCTTTTCTTTGCTATGGCAGCCTTGGTTGCCTGGATGCAAAAAGTGGCTCAGAAATACCTTGCCTTGAAGGAGCTCCAAGTACTGACAGGGGAGTACATTGTCAAAGACCTGTCAGAGCTGGAAAAGCAGTACAGTAATGGCCAGGATCTGGAACAAGGGAATGTCGGGCCCTCAGCTCATCGAGCTCCGATGTGGGTCCCCATGATGCCACAGGAGGTTCAGATCAACTTGTACCGTGACCTTCAAGCAGTGTATGGAATGGAAAGTCGTTGAACTGTCTCAACTTTCTCAAAGCTTTCACCGCGCCAAAAGGGCGCATCATCCGCCGAAAAATGATACCGGATTGTACTAAGCAAGATCTTGGGGATTATCAGAATCCACCCTATGGGGGTAATCCCTATCAACCACCCAGAATAGAGCAACGACACAGGGTTTTCAACGCTGCCGGGCTATGGGCCAAAACTCATGGAGAATCCCCTGGCGAACGAACCCCATAATAACTCTTGCATGCAGGTTCATCTCCCCAAAATATGATATGATTGGTTTCGAACCATACCCATTTGGGATTAGTTAATCCCCTTGAATGTTGGACAGGAACATGTCTGGTTGGAAAGCAAACTATAAAGGCTATACGTGTTGTTTAGGACGAGTGGGAACCTGCAAAGTGGACCATATGCTCGCCATTGGCTATGGTTGCCACGGTCCTTCGTTTTTGTCTTGACAATCCGTCATAGGATGATTAAAAAGCCAGTCATGGAATGTTGGATTTTGCTGGTGCAAAGCATGAAGAGAATGATTGATTGCGCGAGAAAAATGACAGTGGTAGCGGAGGTAGCATTGCCACGGACCCTGCCCTGTAGGAGCACCAAGCACGCCTGCCGCAAAGCTGTTTGCTGAGCCTGGTATACCTTGCATATGCTTGGCATTACTGTTGAGGAGAGGGTGGAAGAACAAGACTTCACAGACACACTGTTTCTTCTCACTTTGCCCATCCATCACTGCATAAACGCGCACTCACAGAGTTTTTAACATGTGTATGTTCCAGAGTACCACCTCATGCTCCCACCTCCCATCCGCAAACATCGCACGTTACTTCCTTCATTCACTGTGGCATCTCCAGCCTCTCTAGGGTGTCGGTGAACCGACCGGAAGCTAGCAGCAAATTGAGGTGAGATCTCATGCGAAGATGGGCGGGGCAAGAACACCAGACATGCTTCAAAACCTGTGAAGCATCTTTGAGGAGTTGGTAAGGTGTCAACCTACAGATTCGAAACTTACTGTTTGATAGAACAAAGAAAAAGGATGTTTGTTGAGTCGAGTATCAACATCACCTATGGGCATCCTGGAATTTGTCTTGGTTTCGGCGGAGGATCTATGGCTACTGAAGCCGTGTTTGGTGTTGCCAGCCCGCGTGGGTCCCGCCATGCACGCATTGGCACTGGGCAAAGCTGGCAAAGCTGGCAAAGCTGGCAAAACTGGGAAGCCCCAAGCGAAGCGAATTCTGACATGGAAGTTTTTCCATCTCAATGAAGGAGCCTGTTTGTAGCTGGACCCACTGACTTGAAGGATGGCCTGATAGTTCAGAACGGGAACGAACCATTATTTCAATAAAGATTGTTTGATGGTCACTATACCTCCAGGCTCATAACTGCTTGGACCCCATCTTTCCTGCAATGACTAGCAGGACATAGCAGGACACTTTTTTGGGTGAGGGGCAGATAATCGACTGTTGAGACGCGAACAAATGGAATCATTGATCATGGATGTGTTGGACGTCCAATAGTCCAAATGAAGGATACAGGCTTGGAGCAGATGTCAGGATTGTGCCACATCGTGGATAAAGCGAAGCAGATGTCAGGATTGAAGCCAGAAGTGCCCGGTTGCTCCAGTTCGTACATCACCCTCGGCTAACAAAACGGAGACCTCTTGCTGCCAATCGTCAAGAAGCATTCTAGGATTGTGGCACATCTGAGATGGGGGTATTCTATGGGTTTGCCCAATGCTACCAAGGGATACCTTGATACCCCTCAAACTGCGATTTACCATGGTCTACCCCATTTTCAGAGCCTCCTATGCTTCGAAGTGAACACATGGGATATTTAATTAAACGATCCGCCTGGCCTCGTCCTGTCGTCCTGGCCTCTCTTTTCCCTTCTGCCAAATCTGCCTTGCAGGTCAACAGAAAGTCCATGGAGCATCTGAGATAGCAGCGCTCCGCCAGTCAAGATGTTTTCGGTATGCTTTCCTGCGGTTTCGAAAATGCGGAAGCTCTGCCGAAGCCATCGTGCAATGTGGGTAAAACAATGCCATAAACCATCCCCCAGTCACCATTTTAATAGGTGGTATGTTCACCATTCCCAAATGGGGTGGTTTAACCCATCAGGTACCGCTGGGCTGTGGCCACCTTAAGGGAATTGCAGCGTCGCAGCCTCGAAGCCTCGTCCCGGAGTTGGTGGGTTAAAGACTGAAGGGTTTTCTACTACCCTACAGAATTTATTGGGATAACATACTGTTTAACATACTATAACCCCAATATTCGGGATCTTGTCAAGCAGTGTTGGAGGGGATAAGGCTATTTTTCATGGCTAAATTGGTACTTGAGCAATAGCAATTGGTACCGACTATATATAATGGGGATCTATGAATGGGATCTATCCGTGAACTCAGAAGTCATCGGAATTTAAGGCAGACTTGTGCAAATTGATTCAATATATCTTGCACTTGTGAAATACCCAGGTAGCTTTACATCTGAGCTCTGTGGCGAGGGGCTTAGACGAACGTCAAGCTGACGAGCAGTTGGCAAAGCTGAAGGATGTTTGCTTTCTTGCCCAAGGCTCCTAAGAAATGGAACTATGTAGATAACATTGCAGTATATGTATATATATATATACCTATACATACATATTATCATTTCATACCCTGTAGTCAGAACGGAGTCATAATAATATATATATATAATATACACGTATGTATATGTATATACGTAAATAAATGAATATATATATATATACGCATACATATAAATATATGCATATATATATTTGTATACATACATATATATATATATAGATCAGATATATGTACGTATATCTACATACATTACATTACTTTACATTGCATTACATTACATTACATTACAGTACAGCAAAGTACAGTACATTGCAGTACAGTACAGTACAGTACAGGACAGGACAGGACAGTACAGTACAGTACATACAGTACATACAGCACATACAGTACATACAGTACATACAGTACATACAGTACATACATGACAGACATGGCAGACATGACCAGACATGACAGACATGACAGACATGACAGACATGACAGACATGACAGACATGACAAACATGACAGACATGACAGACATGACAGACATGACAGACATGACAGACAGGACAGACAGGACAGACAGGACAGACAGGACAGACAGGACAGGCAGGACAGACAGGACAGACAGGACGGACAGGACGGACAGGACGGACAGGGCAGACAGGGCAGACAGGGCAGACAGGGCAGACAGGGCAGACAGGGCAGACATGGCAGAGACATGGCAGACAGGGCAGACAGGGCAGACAGGGCAGACAGGGCAGACAGGGCAGGGCAGGACGGGATCGGGACGGGACCGGGACGGGACCGGGTTACAGACCGGCGGACCAGACCGGCGGACCAGACCGGCGGGGCAGACCCAGGCAGACCAGGGCAGACCAGACAGGCAGAGCAGACAGGCAGAGCAGACAGGCAGACCAGACAGGCAAGGCAGACAGGCAAGACAGACAGGCAGGGCCAGACAGGCAGGGCAGACAGGCAGGGCAGCCAGGCAGACAGGACAGACAGGACAGACAGGACGGACAGGACGGACAGGCAGGGCAGACAGGCAGGGCAGACAGGCAGGGCAGACAGGCAGGGCAGACAGGCAGGGCCAGACAGACAGGCAGGGCCAGACAGACAGGCAGGGCCAGACAGGCAGGGCCAGACAGCCAGGGCCAGACAGGCAGGGCAGCCAGGCAGCCAGGACAGACAGGACAGACAGGACAGACAGGACAGACAGGACAGACAGGACAGACAGGACAGACAGGACAGACAGCCAGCCAGACAGACATACATACGTGTATACTGTATACCGGTGTACCGGTATACCTATAGCGGTACCTCCAAGATGCCGTGGCTGAGCTGATGCGGCTGGTGGTCTGGCGAGATGAGATGGGCCGGAAGGCCGGGATTTCCTTCAGGGGCGGTGCCGGAGTGCCAGATGTTGGGGGATGACGATGGGGTCATAATGGAATAATGGGGCACAATGGACACAATGGACGCAATGGGCAAATGGACATAATGGCAAGACGATAGGATGACAATGCAATATAATGGGATAAACGATGGGATAATCATTGAATGCAAATGGGACAATCATAAAAACATAGGAATAGTGATGCCAGGATTATCATGCCAACGGGCAAAATCATGGGAAAATCGTGAACGTTATTGGATAATCATGGACATTATGGGATAATCATGATACTTGCACCTATAATGGACATAATGGACATAATGGACATAATAGACATAATGGACTCAATGGACAGAATGGACGCAGTGGACATAAGGGCAAAACAATAGGATGAACATGGGATCATCATGGGATGTGGCTGCTAAACCCCTGTTGGTTGATGAGTAGTTCAGGTGTTATACATTGTTATACTATCCAATATAAGAATATTATTTCAATCCATGAGCTGGGAAATCCTCTTACTGTAAGCAGTTTGAGGGTTGCTACAGTTTCTGAAATTGTTTCCACTGAAGTATTCAGGTTGATACTGTAGTTAATAGACAATTTTTAATCCAATACCAGTAGTACCGCGCAAGGCGGTGGCGGAAGTTTCAAAAATAGGAAACCTATAGGAGAGGTTTGTTGTTGCGAATCACGGATGGCAGAGTGAATCCACTGATGGACCGAAAGGTGGTTGGAGTTGTGTTTTCTGGAGTGGCTGCAATGGTTGCAGTGGTCACCTCACCACAAATGCTGGAGGTAGTGTGGTGTAGTGCAGTTGTAGTTGTAGTTGTAGGTGTAGTTGAAGTTGTAGTGTAGTGGAGTTGTAGTTTTTAAGTTGTAGTTGTAATGTAGTGTAACTAGTGTAGTGTAGTTGCAGTTGCAGTTGTAGTTGTGGTGTGGTGTAATTAGTGTAGTGTATTGTAGTGTACTGTAGTGTTGTGTACTGTGGCGTGGTATAGTGTAGTGTAGTCTAGTGTATTGTAGTGTAAATAAAGTAGTGTAGTTGTAGTTGTAGTGTTGTGTTGTGTAGTGCAATGTAGTGGTAGTTGCAGTTGTAGTGTAATGTAATGTAATTAGTGTACTGTAGTGTTGTGTAATGTAGTGTAGTTGTGGTTGTAGTTGTATCTGTAACTGTAATGTACTGCAGTTTAGTTAGTGTATTGTAGTGTAATGTAGTGTAGCTGTAATTGTACTTGTAATTGTAGTTGTAGCTGTGGTGGTGGTGGTGGTAGTGGTAGTGGTAGTGGTAGTGGTGGTGGTAGTAGTAGTGGTAGTGGTAGTGGTAGTGGTAGTGGTAGTGGTGGTAGTGGTGGTACTGGTGGTACTGGTGGTAGTGGTAGTGGTAGTGGTGGTAGTGGTAGTGGTAGTGGTAGTGGTAGTGGTAGTGGTGGTAGTGGTGGTGGTAGTAGTGGTGGTAGTAGTGGTGGTAGTAGTGGTGGTAGTAGTAGTAGTAGTAGTAGTAATAGTAGTAGTAGTAGTAGTAGTGTGAGTAATGGTGGTGGTGGTGGTGGTAGTAGTGGCAGTAGTGGCAGTAGTGGCAGTAGTGGTAGTAGTGGTAGTAGTGGTAGTAGTGGTAGTAGTGGTAGTAGTGGTAGTAGTGGTAGTAGTGGTAGCAGTGGTAGTAGTGGTAGTAGTGGTAGTAGTGGTAGTAGTGGTAGTAGTGGTAGTAGTGTTAGTAGTGGTAGTAGTGGTAGTAGTAGTAGTAGTAGTAGGAGTAGTAGTAGTAGTAGCAGCTGTTGTAGTAGTTGCTGTAGTAGTAGTTGTAGTGTAATTTGTGTAGGGTAGCCTGATTAGATGTAATTAGTGTAGCGTAGTGCAATTAGTGTTGTGTATGTAGCGTGGTATATTTGTACTTGTAGTTGTAGTAGTAGTAGTAGTAGTAGCAGCTGTTGTAGTAGTTGCTGTAGTAGTAGTTGTAGTGTAATTTGTGTAGGGTAGCCTGATTAGATGTAATTAGGGTAGCGTAGTGCAATTAGTGTTGTGTATGTAGCGTGGTATATTTGTACTTGTAGTAGTAGTAGTAGTTGTAGTAGTAGTAGTAGTAGTGGTAGTAGTAGTAGTAGTAGTAGTAGTGGTCGTAGTAGTAGTAGTAGTCGTAGTCGTAGTCGTAGTCGTAGTCCTAGTCGGAGTCGTAGTCGTAGTCGTAGTCGTAGTCGGAGTCGCAGTCGTAGTCGCAGTCGTAGTCGTAGTCGTAGTCGTAGTCGTAGTCGTAGTCGTAGTAGTAGTAGTAGTAGTAGTAGTAGTAGTAGTAGTAGTAGTAGAAGTGTAGTGTAGTGGTACTTGTAGTTGTAGTTGTTTCTCTATCCATCTGTTTATCTGCAAGCTTGAAAACGAAGCTATTCTGCGACACTTCCTCAGTTTTTGAACTTGGCAGCATCAAAAACGCAGCAATTCAGCGAGACTTCCTCAATTTTGCACTTGACAACGTCAAAAACGAAGCAATTCTGCGAGACTTCCTTCAAAAATCACGAAAGGTAGCGTCAGCTACCTGAGTTCTCCGTGCTTCAGCACAATCATAGGGGGTATTGGGGGGGCCAGCCCGGGCCAAACGTGGAATTCTCGCCGTTATGTATTGGATATCAATTATAAGGGGGGGCCCCCCCCCTCTAAAATGGTCATGGGTTCAATTCCCACGGGTGACGCGGTCACGGGCCCCCACATTAGAGGCGCACTTTTCATGAGGGAGATGTCCCTGTAGTCCAGCATAATTGGTATGCTTCAGCCTCAATAACAGTTGCTGCAAGGGGTCTTAAAAAGGGGTTTTAAATAAACCCCTTCTCGGGCATCATTTCACGCTGCACAAGACACCGTATCATGCAGTCATGCTCTGGATAAAATCATCTTAGACTGCGCAAAAACGTTTTTGGTGTATCATCTTAGGGGCGCAGCATTTTGACACCACTCCTCTCCCACTACACTACCTTTCGTCCGCCTCCGCCTGCTCTCAAGTGGAAAGTTGAGTGCAGAGCTGACACCTGTCTAAACTATTGCGCCTGCCACGAAAAAGTGCTACCGGGTCATACGAAGTGCTGCACCTGTCACGCAAAATCATCTCAGCAAACCTGAAGATCTGATGCTCCAAAATGCAGCCCCTCTCAGGAAATCAGCGCCCGGACCGCCTAACAGCTCTGATGAACATGTCTCTTGTACTGCGCCTGCCACGGAAAATGCATCTTTGCAGATCCTCTTCAAATGTCCCACGCTTGCCATCATTTTTGGAAATGCTACAAAACCCTCACGTTTTGCTCACTTTTGACAAGGTCCACAATCCCTTGCGCCTGCCACGTGAAACGACATCTGAACGTCCAAAAGTGCTCCGAATCCATCGTGTTTTTGACATTTTTACTTTTCAAAATGTGCTTCGCGCCACAACGGCGTGCACTTTTTCGACATCGCAACTTCCAAAAGTGGTCCGAACATGTAGTGTTTTTAGCATTTTGACTTCGAAATGTGTTTCGCGCCACAACGGCGTGCACTTTTTCGACATCTCAACTTCCGAAAGTGCTCCGAGCATGGTGTGCTTTGTATATTTTGACTTGGAAATGTGCTTCGCGCCACAACGGCGTGCACTTTTTCGACATCTCAACTTCCAAGAGTGGTCCGAACATGGTGTTCCGCACATGGCTCCGCACCGGCCGCTTTAGCAAGCCTACTTTTCGACCCTCCGGAGCCACAAATCATTGGAAGAACATAGTGTTTCGCGACTTTCCTACTTTTCCGCACACCTGAATCTTCTTTCTTCTGAGACTTTCTCTTTTTGTGATCTTCTTACTTCTTCTCTTCTCTGACTCTTCCCACCTCTGCTTTTCATCTGTCCATATTGTCGGAAGTTTGACTTCTAAACTTCCTTCGGCTAAGGGGTATCAGACCAATTTCTGGAGTTTTGGAATTTCGTTCCAATTCTACATGTGTGCTGATGAAACCTTTTCCACTTCTCGCAATCAAGCTTGGCAAACTTCATGCACAACAATCGATGCAAGTTCTCCTGGTCAGGTCCTGTGCAACTTCTGCACAAAGCTGCATCAGGTGGCGTGAAATGCAATCAGACACATGTATTTCTTCCTGCAACTTGCAAATCACAGACGCACGTCCAAACTTTAGCTGTTCAAAGCAGGACAAAGAGACCTTTTCTCTCACTTTATTCCTTGCATTGACATTGTGCTGGAACCTAGAAGCGCTGCATTTGTGCCCAAGAAGGGTGGCACAACTTAAGCTGAATGTGGTTCATCTGTCAAAATGAACACGACAAAATCAATCATTTGAGGACTCAATTTGATGTGAACATGCAGGAACATTTCGCCAATCGCCTCTTTCTTTTTTGGTTCACAGTCACCAATTCAGCAACCATCCCTCTGAAAAAACAGCATGCAGATCTTCAGCAACGCAGCATCAATCACAAACATAGGATTGAGGAAGATCCTCAAAGCAGCTGACGCATTCTGGTGAGCATTTCAGATTGTGCCAAGCTAGAGCCTTAGAGACGGAACTGTCCTTGTCCTTGTCCTTGTCCTTGTCCTTGTCCTCCTCCTCCTCCTCCTCCTCCGCCATCGCCATCGCCATCGCCATCATCATCATCATCATCGACAACATCAACATCATCATCATTGCATCATCATTGAATCATCAGCATTAAATCGTCATCCTTGAACATCACCACTAAATCATTATCATGGAATTATCATCATTGAATCGTCATCGTTGATTCATCATCATTGAACCGTCATCGTTGAATCACCAGAACCATCAGCCTTTAATCGTTATCATTGAATCATCATCATTGAACCATCACCATGGCCATCGCCATCACCAGCACCATCACCATCACGAGCATCACCACCAGCATCATCACCACCAGCATCGTGATCATCGTCACCACCAGCATCGTGATCATCATCACCCTCCTCCTTCTCCTTCTGATTTCTCCTCCTCCTCCTCCTTCTCCTACTCCCCATCCCCGCTTTCAGGATGGCTCATCAATTCACATGTTCCCTCTAGCGGCAAGGATCAGATGTAGATGTTTCTTCCAGAGATTTTGACTTGAGCCAGGGCCTATGGCAGATCCAGCTGGTGCAGATGGCAGCATCTACTGCTTTCTCGAGGCCGTGGGCCCCGTGGGGCATTGGATTTTGATGGGTTTTTTACCCTTGCATGTTTGGTTTCTCTAGTCATGGTCATGCGTCCCTTTGGTTCTCTTGGGTGTTTGCAGCTGTTGGACGTGTGCCGATTCAGGAAACGATGATGTGAATGTTTTACTGTTAGCCGCGTTGCATCAAACACAAGGTTTTAAAGAATTTCTTCGTAGCAGTTGGTGGCACAAGCTTCCACCTCTCAAGGCTTGTAGAGTTTGTTGTGCCATGTGGCAAGCCCTCTTTGGAAAGAAGACTCCGGAGAATGAACACAGCATCCAGGTGCGTTTTGCCCCGGGCTGGAATGCTGCCTTCATCGAACAACGTTCCATGCAGATGCCATCGAAGTGGACATCAGACACCGAGGAATGGTTCAACGTGAGCTCGATGGCATGGCATGGCATCATCCGAACCATAGAGGAAACCTTATACTGCGAAGAAACCAAGGCAATCCAAAAAAAAATCAGGCCTGAGATCGACTTGGTGAGGTAAGACTGTTCAGAGAATGGCAAATTTGGCAAGTAATAAAAACACCGTGGAGAGCGTACATTTTAAGATGTCTTAAGTTTTATTATATTGCCATTCATAACGGAATATCTTAACTCAATCAGAAGTGTGTCAAATTCAGAGTGCGCAGATGTGTGCAGCACTGCCGTGCCTCTTGTTCACAGGTGTAGAGGATGCGTCATCATCCTTTCTTTGATTGGCTTGGTCCTAGGCCTGGTGCAGGGTTGCTGTGCAGTGGCATGCGTTCAGCAGAAGAAGCAACAACCTGTCCAACCTGGCCTAGGCTTCATGTGTGGCTTTCTCATGAGCTTCCTCGGATGCTTGGATGGTGATGCTGGAGTGTGCGCAACAGGTCTAACCTTCGCGGTGATTTTTGTTATCTCGCTTGTGAGCTGCTTGCTTGAGTTTAAGCCGCTTCTGAGGAGAGTGGAGCTGCGTGAACAGATGTCACGTACAGGGTTTGCCAGTACACAATTTCTAGTACACAATGATTGTGTGAAATTATGCACATTTGTCGTCATTGAAGAATCAGAATCCTTCAGTTTGGTCACGAAATTGATGAAACGGCAGAGGGTATTGGTTGTACACGTGCTGCCCAAGGTCTGGTTGCTTCCTTTCTGTCGATGAATTGCCTTCTACCTGCCTATGCGCGCTTGGTCTTAGACAAGTTAGAGCCGCAGATGCCGCAGCTGCAGGCAGCGAATCCCAACATGAGGCAGGGATGCTTCAGATTTTCAGCATCACAAAAGTGGTGTTTGGTTCAATGTTTGCCACAATCAAAACATTTAGGACGAATTATTTATCCTTTATCCATTTATTATATAAATCAAACTTATAAGTTATAAGTTACATTAAAAATTATAAGGAATCCCTAGTGAGGATGGGATGACCATAGCCCATTAATCCCAACTCGACCATGGCACATGTGCCGCAATCTCTGCTCGGGTCAGGAGATCATACCCCAAAATGGCTATCTTGATGGAAACATAATGATAAACCATCAATTTTAAGGGTGCTGTTCCCATAATTTTCTGATACCAAAGCCATTCCAGAAGAGTTTGTGTTTTTTGGATCAGCCCAGGTTGGACCTGATGAATATCAACTTGCAAGGCGCAGCTCAGTGGCTTGGCTAGAGCTGTTTGGTAGGTAAGTTTGTCACGTTGTGAGAAACACACCATTGTGGTGTAATGGCGACTTGAAAAAACTTGAACCAACTGCTACTGCGACCTGCGAGGTTTGATCTCCGTGTGAGATTGAAGAGCAGACAGGAGCTGCTTGGCTAAAAGAAATCCAACCATGGCAGCCATGGCATTGCGTTGCTGATGGTTGAAGCATTCCATGACACAAGGGAAAGACCAGCATGGAAAGGGTTGCGTCAAAGCCTTGCTGAAGGTGTGAGGAACAACGAACCAACGAGAAACCGATCTCAGAGCGACTACCAGTCTCCCCCAAGCCTCAGATTGTGGGAGTTGCACCACTCCCACAATCTGTGCCCACATATTGGACCAATCAGGACTTTGCCGGTGACCATGGGTTATCCATGGGTTTATGGCAGAAGGAGAAAAAGGCATACTGGTAGCTATATTAGTTATATCATGTCACATCATGACATAGCCTTGCAAGTTTGCATTCCAGAAACTGAACTTTCCGCGCCCGCACACTCCTTTGTTTGTACATCAGGACCTCCGTGAAGGGCATTTTCGACAACGCTGCGAAGTATCGGCGGAGTCACGAGAGCTCCTGCAGGCAATTGAGAATACCTGCAGAAATTCACCAAATTGAAATTCTCTGGGCCCAAAATCAAGGATTCACCAGAGACATCCAGATACCATCAGATACCCATTTCAAAAATCCCTCCATATGGTATGGTCCAGCTGGAGTCCAGATACCCATTTCAAATGGTCCATTCGAACGGGCTGCTGCAGGCACTCTTGGATGAAACTTTCAAGACTCGCAGCACCAGAGATCGACAAGGGAAAATGCCACGTCGCCTGCGTGTGGTCAAGTGCCAAAGAGTAGAGGACAGCTCGCTGTGGTACTGGTACCTCTCTGGCCTCTCGCTTTGATCATTATTTTACAGCCTCCGGTAGATTCCGCCGGCCTTATGGCAGGGACCTTCCAGCGGCAGGAACGATGCTGGTGCAACCAGGTTGCGTGAGCGAGCAGCGACTGCGGGGCAGGAACTAGGAGCAGGAAATAAGAGATGCAGCAATGAGGGGACGGGACGCAGCAAGTAGGAGTCAAGACCTGTATCGCGCGATGCAGGAAGTACCGCGGAGTAACGCTGTGTCCGATGGCGCAAGTGGGGTCGAGCAACCATGTCGGACGCCGTAGTAAGTATGTGTAGGATGATGCAGCACACGCACATCTACCTCAATGAAGTAAGACGTCAAAAGCAGTACCCTGTCAGCATAAGACGTGCAAATGCAGAAGAAGCAGATATCAAAATTCTTCTCCTGTTTAGTTCACGTAGCAGCACATCGCGGAGGCAAGGGGTTGCGGGGACGTGGCTCTCGAACAGGTTCCGAAGCGTTACGTAGAAAACATCGCAAACATGTGCTCATAGCAGCACACCAGGCGCGGGGGGAGGGGAGAGAGAGGGTAAGGGGGGAAGGGGGAAGGGGGGAGGGGGGGAGGTTGGTTACCATCAGGCGGAGCAAAAATCCGCGCAGAGGAGACTTTGAACCACAGTACCAAGTACATTCATTGACACAACCATCATCACAGCACATCACAGGAAACACGTCCTCATAGGCCGGCGGATTTTGGTACACTCAAACGTTCACATAGAGCAAACGCTGAGTTGGGGCAGCTAGAGGCAAATCTCAGATTCTAATTTGGTTGTACCAGGGTTCTTGATTTATTGTGCACGGATGGTTAGAACTTGCTTAAGAAGTGATGCACGTCAGCGATCCTGCAAAGGATGGATGAACTGGAAGATCTGGAAGGTTGTGATGTCATTCACATTCCGCCAAAGAGTTGTTGTATCGTTTTTCCTCATGGACATCTCGTTAAACGCTTAGACATGAATCGGCTAGAGATACAAGAATGGCGCCAGAGACAAACAATTCGTGCACTATTGCCACCTGTGTACATGCCAAGGCTTAGAAAAGCTGAAGACGAGCTGGCCGAGTTGCACTCCCATTAGCGATCATTATACCGCATCGCAGGACGGTTTTTAGTAGTTTTTTTCTATATCATGACAATCATTAAGCCTCATTAAGCTATACTGGCACCACCACCTATATACATATCTTGCACCGCATCAGTGCCTCGGCGTTGCGTCATTTGTTCTGTGGATCATCCTTTATTGGGACATGAATCCCCATCAAGCCCGAGCGTTTTTCCCATCGACTCCTGGCTCTGTCTGAAAATATCCCAAAAGTTGATGGTGTATCATTTTTCCCATTCGAAAATTGGCATTTTGAGGGTAAACTATGATATTTTTTGATGTTTTTTCTCAGCCATTTTCAGACCGAGCCGCATCTGAGCACTTGGCAGGACGCTCCAGAAGCTCAGGCAGGTGATGTTTGCACAAAGCAGCCACTGGGTGGATTCTCCAATCGCTTGGATCCCAAGCTTAATGAGTTCCTTGGCCAAAATTGGTGACCAAAAAACGGCACCAAAAAAGGGGAGGAACATGTCATGATGTTAGTTAAGCTGGCAGTGTTGGGATGTACTGTAGCTGTTATTGATCCAGATTCAACCGCTTGAATCGGCAATGATAGGTATGATTTGTCCTATTTTATTGTCATTCATGACATACTAATACATCTTCAAACAATATGTTTATCCTCATCATATTTGGATTATGATACAACCATAATATGATAATACTTGTTAACTTATTCCAACATCCACCATCATCTCAAAATCATGTCGCAAGCGTTTCACAACCATGAATGATGATGGTTTTATAATCGTTGTATAGTCATTTCATGGCCCGGTAATCAAACATGGCAATGGAAAGTGCCCCCTGTAGTGCGATCATTTTCCCAGCTACAATTCCCCATTTCCTTTGATATTTCCGAGCCATGTTTGATGACACCAAAGGGTAATTCCATTAATCACCATTATATCATCACCATTATCGACCATCATTAACCACTATAATCCATGATTGACCATTATTATATTAACCATCATTATTGTTAAATTATTATTATCTATTATTATATTAACCATTATCTTGACCATTATTAACCATCATTAACCAGTAAAAATCATTACAGCCATCAGTGTTTTAACATCACCTGCAAGCGACAGGTTTTACCTCATGCACGGTACAAGCCCCGATGGTGCCCTGGGCATCACCGATGGGGGCTTTCGCCTGGATTTGACGGGATCCCATGCGGGGACGATGTTCGGAAACTCGGTTCGAAGTACCTTATGTAATGTTGGTTCCTGATTAGTGTGTGGCCCCCCCCCCCTCCCCTAAACTATATCTGGACTCTCTTTAAAGTAGAAAAGCAAAAAAAATCTTCCCAAAAGAAAAACATATCCTCGATTAAGTAAGGATTTCAATTGGCTACAATTGAAATCTAATTACTATTGTTTTTTTTGCCGATGAAGTTGTGTATTTGTAGTACTTGTAGTACTTGTAGTACTTGTAGTACTTGTAGTACTTGTAGTACTTGTAGTACTTGTAGTACTTGTAGTACTTGTAGTACTTGTAGTACTTGTAGTACTTGTAGTACTTGTAGTACTTGTAGTACTTGTAGTACTTGTAGTACTTGTAGTACTTGTAGTACTTGTAGTACATTGTAGTACTTGTAGTACTTGTAGTACTTGTAGTACTTGTAGTACTTGTAGTACTTGTAGTACTTGTAGTACTTGTAGTACTTGTAGTACTTGTACTTGTGGTACTTGTAGTACTTGTAGTACATGTAGTACTTGTAGTACTTGTAGTACTTGTAGTACTTGTAGTACTTGTAGTACTTGTAGTACTTGCAGTACTTGTAGTACTTGTAGTACTTGTAGTACTTGTAGTACTTGTGGAAAAGCTGTTCTTTAATAAGGGTTTAATATCCTTTGGGAAAGGCTTGGAGTTTGAATTTGGCAATTTTGGAACAGGCTTGCTTCCCTTCTGGGCTTCCAGGGGCTGCTCTGGCACAGCTTGCTGCAATAGTGAACCCAGCAAACAAACCTACTAAAGTGAAATGGAGCCTCTCCTGGTCCAGGGCCTTGGAAAATTGTGGAAAAGCTGTTCCTTAATAAGGGTTTAATAAGGGATTGATTCTTTTGGGAAAGGCTTGGAGTTTGAATTTGGCAATTGCCTTTGGAAAAGGCTTGCTTCCCTTCTGGGCTTCCAGGGGCTGCTCTGGCACAGCTTGCTGCAATAGTGAACCCAGCAAACAAACCTACTAAAGTGAAATGGAGCCTCTCCTGGTCCAGGGCCTTGGAAAATTGTGGAAAAGCTGTTCTTTAATAAGGGTTTAATAAGGGATTGGTTCTTTTGGGAAAGGCTTGGGGTTTGAATTTGGCAATTTTGGCAAGGCTTGCTTCCCTTCTGGGCTTCCAGGGGCTGCTCTGGCACAGCTTGCTGCAATAGTGAACCCAGCAAACAAACCTACTAAAGTGAAATGGAGCCTCTCCTGGTCCAGGGCCTTGGAAAATTGTGGAAAAGCTGTTCTTTAATAAGGGTTTAATAAGGGATTGGCTCCTTTGGGAAAGGCTTGGAGTTTGAATTTGGCAATTGCTTTTGGAAAAGGCTTGCTTCTCTTCTGGGCTTCCAGGGGCTGCTCTGGCACAGCTTGCTGCAATAGTGAACCCAGCAAACAAACCTACTAAAGTGAAATGGAGCCTCTCCTGGTCCAGGGCCTTTAATAAGGGTTTAATAAGGATTGGCTCGTTTGGGAAAGGCTTGGAGTTTGAATTTGGCAATTGCTTTTGGAAAAGGCTTGCTTCTCTTCTGGGCTTCCAGGAGCTGCTCTGGCACAGCTTGCTGCAATAGTGAACCCAGCAAACAAACCTACTAAAGTGAAATGGAGCCTCTCCTGGTCCAGGGCCTTGGAAAATTGTGGAAAAGCTGTTCTTTAATAAGGGTTTAATAAGGGATTGGCTCTTTGGGAAAGGCTTGGAGTTTGAATTTGGCAATTGCCTTTGGAAAAGGCTTGCTTCTCTTCTGGGCTTCCAGGGGCTGCTCTGGCACAGCTTGCTGCAATAGTGAACCCAGCAAACAAACCTACTAAAGTGAAATGGAGCCTCTTCCTGGTCCAGGGCCTTGGAAAATTGTGGAAAAGCTGTTCTTTAATAAGGGTTTAATAAGGGATTGGCTCCTTTGGGAAAGGCTTGGGGTTTGAATTTGGCAATTGCCTTTGGAAAAGGCTTGCTTCGCTTCTGGGCTTCCAGGGGCTGCTCTGGCACAGCTTGCTGCAATAGTGAACCCAGCAAACAAACCTACTAAAGTGAAATGGAGCCTCTCCTGGTCCAGGGCCTTGGAAAATTGTGGAAAAGCTGTTCTTTAATAAGGGTTTAATAAGGGATTGGTTCTTTTGGGAAAGGCTTGGGTTTGAATTTGGCAATTTTGGAAAAGGCTTGCTTCCCTTCTGGGCTTCCAGGGGCTGCTCTGGCACAGCTTGCTGCAATAGTGAACCCAGCAGACAAACCTACTAAAGTGAAATGGAGCCTCTCCTGGTCCAGGGCCTTGGAAACTTGTGGAAAAGCTGTTCTTTAATAAGGGTTTAAGAAGGGATTGGTTCTTTTGGGAAAGGCTTGGAGTTTGAATTTGGCAATTTTGGAAAAGGCTTGCTTCCCTTCTGGGTTTCCAGGGGCTGCTCTGGCACAGCTTGCTGCAATAGTGAACCCAGCAAACAAACTAAAGTGAAATGGAGCCTCTCCTGGTCCAGGGCCTTGGCAAATTGTGGAAAAGCTGTTCTTTAATAAGGGTTTAATAAGGGATTGGTTCTTTTGGGAAAGGCTTGGGGTTTGAATTTGGCAATTTTGGCAAAGGCTTGCTTCCCTTCTGGGCTTCCAGGAGCTGCTCTGGCACAGCTTGCTGCAATAGTGAACCCAGCAAACAAACCTACCTTGACTGAGCTACAGCGTTTTTGAGAAAAAATGCCTCTCAGCAATTACAGTCTTTTTTGCAAAAAAAGGGCTCTCCCAATTTTGTTTTGCCACAAAAGCGAACCCTCCAAACAATACATGAGTTTCAGAATAATTTTTGGAAAATTGCCACAATAGCGACCCTAGGTACTAATCAGGACCCAACATTAATATAATTGTATAACATATATAAATGTATATATATATAGGTCTATAGACATTCAATATTTATACATACATACATTACATTGCCTTACATTACATTGCATTACATTACCTTACCTTTACATTACATTACATTACCTTACATTACCTTACATTACATTACATTACCTTACATTACATTACATTACCTTACATTACCTTACATTACATTACCTTACATTACATTACCTTACACTACAATACACTACATTACATTACATACATCACATACATACATACATACATTACATTACATACATACATTACATAAATTACATAAATTACATACTTTACATACATTACATACATTACATACGTTACATACATACATGCATGCATACATTCATGTATACACATATTCATGTATGGTACGTGTATTTGTGTATATGTATATTTACACATACATAATTATATGTACATGCAAAATTATATATATATACATACATAGTTAATAGGTGTGACACATATGTACATGTTTAATATGTTAATGTGTATATTTTATACACGTATAGTGTGGGTATTTGTATATATATATATATATATGTACACATGATATAGACACTGTATGTATCAATGAAAAAACCTATACATAATCATACACTGTAAGGATAACGTGTGTGCACACATATACATGTATATATATATATGTATTACATATATATATATATATGTATACATACATATATGTATATACATGTATACATATATATAATGCATATGTATATATATATATATATATTACTGTATATATATATATTTACTGTATATATTTGTACAATATCGTCCATTTTAATGTAATAACCCGAAACTCAACCAACTGATGATTTGGGCTGCCCAGGTCAGAAAACACAGACTTGCATTCCAGTGGACATTTCCAGTAATAATGGCAGCCTCTGATGTATTGTGATATGTGTTTTTTTTTGGTAATTATTTACAATGAATAATAATGTTTTTTGTTTTTTTTGTATTTTCTGATATTTCTTTTAATGATTCCTAATTTTGAACCCTTACTGATGAAGGGCCCTTGTTGATGGAGTGCCCAGCCCTCACAAATGAGGTCCTTAGTTTCTCTGGGAAACTCAACATGGCAGAAAAGAAGTGCAACATCGCTAGACAACACAGAAAAAACCTGTAACTAAGATGAAGACAATGAACCCAAACTTTACTTACTCAATTGCTTCATGTGGATTCTTTGTCGTCAGTACTCTGCAGCAAAGAGACTTACTTTGCGATACGTGCCGGTTTGCTGTCCTGGCAAGGAAACGGGGCATACTTTGCAGAGTGTTCTTCAAAGGCAGATGAGTCTTGTGGCTGACATCATTTGGAGACGGATTTGTGGACTCCTCTAATTTTTTGAGCCAGTGGTTAGAGATGTTGGCCGAGAAAGGATAGCTAATGGCTAAAAAATATCAGCATCTTGCGATATCTTGCGCCTGTGCCGAGGTACTCTAGCGCAGGTGAAGGGATCTACGAGGGTGTTTATGCCATGCTCTTGTGCCGCGTTGCTTGCGGTCAGATGCTCCGCATGTTGCGTCCAGACCCTCAAATGGTGGAACATGCCATTGGTAAAGTTGCTTCTGCAGTTCTTGGGGATAGGGAGGCTGGGCATGGCAGCTGCATTCTTGGGCATCTTATTGCATCTTCATGTAGTGTGTATATCACCAAGAGATTGTTTGTGGGTCCTGGCATCTCAGCCATGGCCAGGCCTCTGTTGGCACCTATCGAGAATTTGTAGTCTTCGACGCATCCCAGATCTATCCAGAATATGTGATCCTTTACGAACGCGAATTCTGAGCCATTCTGAAGCTCAGGTCTGGTGGCTCTAGTAGGTATCTTTTCCTTTGAGTTGACATCAATCCAGGGATGGTGAGGAAACCTGCAAAACAGCAGTGGTTTGCCCCCTGAGTTGGTGACAGTGAAAGGGACCAGAACTTGAACAGACCATCTTGAAAAAATTGCTTGATGGAGACTCTGTTCCATTCGGATAATGCCGTTGTCTTTTGTGCCTGTGGCACTGAACCTCCAAGAGGCAGCTGGAACTCAGAGCGAGGTCAAGCGAGTCAACAAACATGTACTCGTGGCGGTCTGGGCTACCTGTGATTCAGAACCGTTAACGTCCTGATTCAAGTGATATGGCATTCAAACGAGATACCCCTTGTAGAGCAGAAGCAGGGAGTTTGAAGGAGTGGCGACATTTAAAAAACCGTCCCGTACAAACTTTGGAGACGACGCCATTTCAACCACCAAACCTGTTTCGCATCCCTTGTCATCCCAAAGGTCCACTTTGTCCAACCTGATGGCAGGTCGAGATCAGTGGTGTGAACATCGGGCGGATGATCTTTAAGTGAATCTTTCCTGTTTTTTCTGGCATTTTTTCCCACTGACGGTGTGCTCCTAGGCGGCCAGATTGTTTGGAAATAGCTGTAAAAGGCGAAGTAGTTACACTCATTCGTGGTTTGAAACGTCCCAATCTAAGCTCTCCAAAAGAGAATTGGCGGGTTGAAGCAACGGTTGAAGTGCCAAGCAGTAGGCACATGCATTTTTGCGGCACCAGGTCTGGGTTTGTCCCGAAATGGGAGCCATTACAATGGGGACAAAGGGTGTGAACACGTCATAAACACGTCATAAATCATTGGATTTTGGAGGTACCATGAGGTGCCCTATTCTTGGGCAATCTGCCAGGCTGTACGACAACATTTGTCCCAAGACGGCAGAGAATTTTCGATGCCTTTGCAATGGTGAGCGAGGTGCTTGAGCTGAGTTTGTAGCGCCGCAAGAGATGTGATGAGTTGATCTGTGAAGGCACCGGGCTGATTACTAAGATGCCCTTGAACTTCCAGGGTTCCAAGTGCAGAGCTCAAATTGCATGGACTACATGAAATGTAACGTTCATAGGTGTTTTACCTACTCCTGGAACCTTCTAGATGTTGCTGAGGTTCCACCGTGTCATTCCCGGTTTCATGGCACAGGCGAAGAGTAGATGCCAAGTCTGGGATATTTCCAAGATTTCCAATGTTCTGTTGCAGATGTTGCAGCCTGCTTATGGTGCGCTTATGCTTCGAGTTAGCACGCCCAGAAGTGGGTCAAACTTTTCTGCAATCTGTCTAAGCTGGTCCAAATGGCTTCCGAAAATGGCGCAGATGTTCTTGTGATTATCACTGAAACCAAATCCTCTTCAAACTAGGCAGTCACGAAACGTTGCATGTTAAGAGCAATGCACTTCGCCTGTGGCTGTAGTGCTCAAGCACCGACACTCCAGTACTCTTTTCTTGCTCCAACGAGGCATGGAACTGTTGGGAGCGCTAAGGGTGTCTTGAGATTTTGTTGGTTCTCATCTCCAGAAGGCCCACTTGGGGGCGCAGTTTGGAGTTGTTAATGGATATACAGCCTCCGCTAGTTGGGATATCACCCCTCTTGCTTATGTTTCATATACGTATGTATCCACTTGTAAACATCTTATATATATATATAACTGAACCTGCACCCCACTCCCCGGTCCCCAAAATATCCCCGGCAGGAGAAACATGATGCGATCGGGGTACAAGATTCCCACGGAGATGGACTTCCAGAGTGAACGAGCTCTCTACAACATCCTTGAGCCAAGGACCGGGCTTGACACCTGACCGGGGCCGGCTATGAATGACCCAAAGGTGCACGGAATCGTGAAGCAGAATGTAGCCTTAACATGCATCTGGAGTCTGTTTGCAAGATCCAACCGAAGCTAGTTCATAGTTGACTGTCTGAAATTTATTGAATTGAGGCTTGGGTGATGTTCGATAGTGACGCTATGGTAGTGAAATCATGACATGTCCTGGTTGTTTATCTTGTTTGTCAATGTGCTCTCTCTCTCTCTCTTTTTGCCTTGTGGTCCTGGAGATTCTGTAGGAAAGACATGACAGGTATCACTACTTGGTGCCCGAGTGGATGAAAACGGCCTCAGATGCAGAGAAGCGAGGTGTCATCAAACTGGCCAGGTGGGGGCCACAGGGGCGGGCCACAGCCATTGCCCATCGATAGAAAAGGGCCATACTCAACCCACCCAGCTTTCAAGTGGTGACGATAAGAGTCATCTGGCCAATGATTAGCATTTCCTTCGGTGCATGCGTGATGCAAAAAGCTCAAAGGAATCTGTTTCGATGAGGAACCTCAACTACCTAAAAAAGAACGAGGAGATGATATCATAATGAGGATATCAGCTCAATTTTCATCCAAGTCCTCTTATATAAATGGATTTGTCTGAATATTGGGTACACTCCCAAAATCCATTCATTTTCCATGTTGGATCATTTTGGGATATCGCATGTTGAGACAAACCCAAATATATACCCCATATTGTTATGTATATATATAATATACACACACACATCCCATTCTATCCCCATCATATCCCCAATGTGGTCGGTACATATCCCCTCGCTTGACGCCCCCTTTCTTGTAGGATTGCAGAGCCAAAGCTTCTGAAGTCCATCGGACGGCCCAGGTGGACTCGGTTGGGGTCGGGTCCTGTAGGGTTTGTCGAAACATGAGGGATTGATGCCCACTTGGAGGTTTCCTCAAATGCAGGTACTCCGAAATCATCCCTTAAATTAGGCCATGTTAGTCTATGTTAGTATTGAACCAATGGTGACTTGGGGGTCCCCCATTTTCAGAGAGGCGGTTTTTGTAGGAAATGGATGATCAACCACAGGGGGGGATGGGATCCTATTTTCAGACAAACTCATGTGTAGAATATTTATGAATATTTGGTCGGGCCTTCCTGCTCAGCATTCTGCACCAGTTGGGTTTGTGGAGTTTGTGGATGTTGCAAAACGAGGAGCGACGCATTTGAGCCCATGCTGAAAGAGCATCCCTGGTTTCACAAGCGAGGCGGCAGAGTGAACAGTCGCGGGGAAATCGAACAATGTATTTGAGCTCCAAGCAGTTAAATCTTTCTCCTCCATCATGAAATTTGGTTCCAAGAGCCATGGAACAGTTGACGAAGATGATGGGCTGAGTCTAAAGTTGACGAACATGTCTTGACCCTTGGCGTCCTAGTCAATGAGGGCATTGTTTGATACTTTTGGGGTTCCGGAGTTTGGTCTACTGTTTTGCAGAGACCCACCCACAGGCAATCCTGTGCTTCAGCCTCGTGTGGATGTCATCGAGAAATTCCCAGTGGATGCTTCTGAATATCAGGTGCCACATCACACCTTTCACCTGGCAGTGTGGAAGAATTCCAGAGGATGAATCAGTGAAAGAAATCGAACAAGTTGTTTAGTTTGGATTGCAAGTTCCCGATTGTGATTTCCAAGAGCCTTCAGCAATTGCACAACCTTACGCATTGGCTCTTTACATATCTTTACCGCATACGCAGTTCATTTGACATATTTATATAACTTGTTCCCAGCCAGTCTTAACGACTCCAGCCAGTGGTTGAACACCAGGTACCTTCATGGATGAATGACGATCTGTATGAAGCTGAGCAGATCCCAAAGCCTGGTGGCTGCATCCTGAAGCTCAAGGCGGCAAGTGCGACATGGTTTCACCAAAGAAAGTTGCTACAGAGTGACAGATTGCATCAGATTGCCAAAGTATGCTTTGAGTACAAATATTGCCACTGGCGCCTAGCTGATGTTCAAACTTCTTGAATGATATGCTTCCAGAATTGACAACCTTGTCGTTCTTGCTTCAGCAGGACAGCATCAACATCATGTGCCTCGTTTGCACAGCTTCCAGATAAAGGTCAGCTTCAAATCGCCGAGTCTTCCAGTGTCGAGTCCTGGCCTTGTATCATTTAGGAGGTCACCCGTGAAGCCAAAAGGTCCGTAGGTCCGTGAGAAAATCCTTGAAGAATTGAGTCCAAGCGTTTGGTCTTTGGTTTCACAACAAAGCCATGTGAATAGTGTCTCTGAATAGAGTAGTTTCTTTTTGATATATCTCCATTGACTAGAGATATATCTCCATTGACTATAGATATTAATTATTAATGCATCCCGCATCCCCATGAGGCTTAACGCTTCGTTACAAAGCCATATTCCGCGCAACTGACTGACTGGTGGTTTGGTCATGTTTGGTCACTAAGGCGCCAGAAAAACTGGACGCGAAACCAGGGCACCTACCAGATGTTCAGCGGCTCCTTCGATGGTGCCACCACGACGCACTCATGCCTGGATCCTGAGATATCCTGAGCGAACAGGGTGGAGTAATTGTAACTAGTAATGATATAATTATATGTATATATATATATGTATACACACTGTATATATATAGAGAGAGTAATGTTTTATGTATATGATATAGTGATATAACGATACATGTAGAATGATATAGTTTTAATGATGTCAAGATCTTTTTGGAGAGATCTGGAAAGAAAGATCTGCCACATGTAGTGTATTGAGGCTTTGATCGCATGTTAAAAGATCAAGGGAAGGAATTTTGTCCACATTGCAGCATCCCTGCTCTGCAGCTGCAAGTATGAGAGGAAACATGTTATTTTGGGAATCAGGGTTTTAATAACTTTAATTTACAGACCACCTAGCATCAGCACGGATCTTTCCATGATTCCTTGACGACTTTGGTGTCTCCCATGGTCTTTGTGTTGCCATCTGGGACAACGTAGCTAATAGCGGTGCACACTTTCTGATTTGTCTGGAGAAGACGTGATTTGTCCTTGAGGTTACACCAGGGAAGCGATTGGACTTGCCCCAATGACGCAACCAGAGTGAGTGCTACTGGGCGAATCTGGGCAGGGCGCGTTGACGAATACTTCACTAGTTGAATACTATCAAGCATCACTCCACCGCCTTCCCCAAGCATTTCATGTGCAGAATTGAACGTGCCGGTTGTTTCTGAGGTTGGCACAGGTCGGCTTGAGTGTAGAAATGCTTTGCGTGTTTTGCAAAAACATCAAGTCTCACCAGTCGCGATCAGTGCTTAAAGTACGATCGTCAAGTGCCAAACATGGCGCTCAAAGAGGACTTCAGGTCACTTTGTTTCAGCACAAACAATCCTGTGGTTGAAAACACACGGAAACGGTTGAGAAATCAAAAGAAAGCCCACGACCAGGTATCCTCAATTTTGGGACATCCTAATGCTTCGGTTTTTGTAACGTTCCAATGTTGAAGCATCAACAGATGTCGTACCTGTCGTTATTGGTCGCACCGCGTTTGGACTTCTGGATTGAACCTCCGCGGAGAGGATTCCACCGCGTGTCACCAAATGTAGCTGTGATGAAGGCTTCGAGGTAGACAGCACCGAAAATTGCTCGGCGACTTGGGGATATCTTGGTAACTACATGGTAGTCATTTGAGGTCAAAGCACAAGATTCAAAAGTAGATAAATGGTACTTGGCCGACTTGGCCTGCCGGTCTTAGAGTAAGTTCGATGCATCCGACCTGTACTTGTAAAATGATCTCAAGTGATTTCAAATGTACGTATTTTGTCGTACTTTCGGAGCATGGATTTTGTGGTTGCAGCCGGTTGCAGCCCTGTGACATTCAGCTTCTCAGCGGCATGGCTGCCAGGGTGGAGACTTTGAACTGGGCGATGGCCGCGGTGGGGAGGCCATATCTGCTGATGTTTTGCTTATTTTTGCTTGGGTAGGATTCAGAGCAGGATTCAAACTCACTGAATTTGTGCCATTTTGATTTGTGCTTCGGATATCACTATTCCATATCTGTCTTCTTGTGCATCTGCAATTCGGACGACGACTGTAATTGGTTGACAGGTTGACATCAGGATGGGTTGAGTCCCCAACCCGTTGGTAATCCGTTTTGATGCTGGAAAGTTGAAGCTGTGAACGGTCCGTAGCTATGTGGATCCTCAGCTCCCTCTTGTCGGCGTGCCGTGGTTGTCATGCCGGAGTTCTTTCCCGCGTTCCGTGCAGAGCGGAACAAGAAGCCAATCCTTTTCAAAAATGCCAAGATCTACGATGGATCAGACATGTTGAGCGGCCCAAAAGATGTACTGGTGGTGGGCAATTTGATCCAAGACATTGAGCAAAGCATCAGTGGAGAGAATTGGGGTGCCGTGACCATCGACTGCAGTGGCTACACCTTGATGCCTGGATTGATTGATATGCATAGTCATTTGTGCATTCAGGAAGGTATGCTGGAGGGCAACACAACCTATGACCAGATGGCCATGGGTGCCATGTGTGGCCAGGATTGTATTGATTACTTGTTGCAAGGCTTCACCACCTGCAGGGATGCAGGTGGCAACGTGCTGGGGATCGCCAAGGCCATCAACAATGGGCGGATTCCTGGGCCTCGCATCTTCGCGTCGGGTGCTTTCCTGAGTCAAACTGGTGGACATGGAGATACTGGATGTGGCTTTGACCAGCCAGGTGATCAAGATACACTTGAAAAGATGGGTTTTTCACACATCGTGGATGGAAGGCCTGAGATGTTGAAGGCAGCCAGGAACAATTTGAGGAATGGAGCAACCCAACTCAAGATTATGGCCGGTGGTGGCTGTGCAAGTGCCTTTGATCCAATCCACATGACTCAGTTCACCGCAGATGAAATGCGTGCAGCCGTGGAAGTTGCCAAAGACTATGGCACATACGTCTTGGCACATGCTTATCATGATGACTCAATCAACCGGTGTTTGGATGCAGGAGTGAAGTGCATTGAGCATGGCTTCTTGATGTCTGACTCAACCATGAAGCGAATTGCAGATGAGGGAGCAGCGATCTCCTTGCAGTGTGTTATGTCCATGGAAGCCTTTGCTGACCCAGAGAAGCTCACGTTTTTCACAAAGGATCAAAAGAAAAAGGCAGGACTTGTAGCAAGTGGAGCCAAGCAAATGATGCAGTATTGTCGCAAATACAAACCGTTGACCGTTTCAGGCGGAGACATGTTTGGAGGCATAGCTCAACATCGCCAGGCGGACAATATCATCTGTTTGGTGACCCTCGCCGGCTTTTCTCCGGCAGATGCTTTAAGGACAGCAACGGGTGATGCTGCCAAAGTTCTTGCTTGGAGTGGCGGGATGAATCCATACAAAGATGGAGCCCTGGGAGTCGTTGCCACTGGAGCCTATGCAGATCTCATCCTGGTGGACGGAAATCCCTTGGAGGATATCAGCTGCTTGAAGCGAGATAAAGTTCATGTGGTGGTGAAGGATGGGGTTTGCTACAAATACAGCCTACCAGGTGGCAGGGCTCCGGAAATTGAGCTACCAGAGTTGCTGAAGAAATGAGAAGCCAAAGAGCTTCGCAACGAGTTGTTTGCTTTACCAATGACGAGGAAGTCAACGGCCTTTACTTGTCATACTCGTAATCGATACGAGCAATTTAAATTTCCAGACTAGTTTCAGTATGCCATGTATATATAGCACTTTGTGAAAAAAGTTGCCTCAACTTGATGAAAATCACTTGCCTACTTGCCTACCAAAAACCTGATGTCATGATGTCAATTAGCTTCAGCGGTCCTGGCAGTCCATCTACGGTGGCAAGTTCAATGACGAGGTGGGACGACTCCAAGCAGCGAGTTGAAGCCATCGACCAACGATCTGGGTCACAGTAAGCCGCAGGCGGGTGGCTTAGCTTTGCGGCATGCGAAGAGGCGGTCGGCGCTGAGAAACTGGACCAGCTCGACCAGCTGGGATGAGATGGCGATTTTGCCAATCACCAAAAGTCAACCATCTTTGGACAGACTCTTACTATGAGGTTGATGATTCTGGGTATTTTCTGTCATGCTCTTGCTATGAAATACTAGCAGGTAACCAGTGACTACTACGCTATATAAACCCATCCCTATTTTCTCTTAGGAAGGAATAGGGGGGACAGCACCGTCCAGTACTACGTCCCGTTTGAGTTGTTCAATTGCAGGGGTCTTCTGAGCATGGCCAACAGTGGCCGGGTCAGCGCCTCATTTGGGAAGTTCAGCATGATCGTTGTTGGCACCGCCGTTTCAAGTGGATCAAGTGGCTCCAAGGACACAAATGGCTCACAATTCTTTATCCTCTTCAAGGCTGCACATCACCTGAATGGTGCGCGCCACAGAAACCATCTGAAACTCTGAAAAGAAAGTAGTGCCGTGGATAGTGGATTATGTGAATTGGTAGGAAACAATCTGTTGGATTATGTTGATGGTGGATTATATAAGTATTCATGATGGATTACGATAATGATTATGATATAAATTATGATATATTATGATATATTGTGATATGTTATGATATTATTATGATATACTATGATCATGATCATGACACCAGTTCCGTTCCGAACTGCCAAGCCATGCAACCACTGAAAACGTTTCGATGCCAGGTAAGCACTGCGTCTTCGGGGAGCTGGTCGAGGGGCAAGCCACCCTGGACTGGGCGACCGACAAATGGTCAGATTGCCAGCCTAAAAGATCCTCAAAGCACTGTATCCAACGAGGGAGCTTCTACCAGGTACTGTATTTATTTACTTATACGTATATTTATTATTATTATTATTATTATTATATTATATATATAATATATATATAATAGTAATTTATGTGTGTCGCTTGCCAGTCTTCAGTCTGTGGCACCTGCTTGAAATGGAGCGTTTCATATGCCTATCATGGCTCTTGCCAACGTGGAAATGATCTCAGCTTTCATTCGTCCGAAAGCTGTCCAGTCTGTGTTTCTCACAGATTTGCTGTCGAAAATGATTAACTCTCGACGCGGAGGATGCGATAGAAGGTGTGAAGACCACATCTGACGACAAGCCCATTGCGCCCATCACCATTGCAAGATGCGGTGCCCAGAAACTAACGGTGGTCTGTTGAGCTGGTTTCCACGATACATTGCCATTTCGAACAGTTGTTTGTTGGGTGCTAAACTGTTCCTACTGCTGGACTGCCATTGGTTTATTCGTGATTTCTTGCAGGCCAAGTGGAAAGACGAGTGGTTGGCGTTCGGCCAGTGAAGAGGAAGAAGACGAAGGAAGTGAATTCAAGCTCGTCTGAGTCATCGTCCAGCGAGAAGAAGAAGAAAAAGAAAACTAAGAAGGACAAGAAGAAGAAAAAGAAGGACCGACCCTGGATGATCATAATTGATCATAGATGATTTAGATGCAGACTATAAATGATTATGATACATCTCCTGGGAGCTTGGCGTAGTATACTCTGCTTGATCCAGGTAGCCAGAAAATGAAGGGTTCGCCGACGATTGCATATGTATATATATATACATATTATATACATATGAACTTATAAGAAACTGTCTATCTTACTGCTGAGCAACACTGTGAAATCCACACTCAAATGCTTCGGAGCCAGATGCAACCGGAGGACTGAGCCGTTGAGCCGCCTTCTTGAAAGTAACCCTTATTCGAGGTGTGGGTAGGAGACTCTTCAAGTCTTGTTCACTATCCATGCAGATGTTTCATGAACAAGTTTGAGTTTCATGCTGTCAGATGCCTTGCAGGTCTCCAGTGCAGCGCAGCGACATTGGAAGACCCAAAAAAGTGCTCGCACTGCTGAGTGCTCGTACGTGAGATTTGAAGTGCTGCATCCTAGCAGTGTCAAGCTTTGGAAAACATGAATGTGAAGCTATATGCAAAGCTGACTTCTTGCGTCAGAAGATTCCAATGTTGGATGATGTTGAGTATATTGATGCTTTGATACAATATATTATGTAACGCAATACACTCTAACATCGCATCACATCACACAACACAACATCACATCACAAAACGCAACATAACACAACATCACATAAGACAACATACCATGATACAGAGAACATATCATGATATATATATATATATATTATTATGTATACCGTATACTATATATATACACAATTGTATATGTTAAGATGTACAATATGTATTGGCACAGTATACCTTCAGGTCCAGGTCATCCGCAGGTCGAGACCTCTGTGCAAAGCCTGGCCAATGACGGCCTCAAGGCGATGGCAGGTGGGAAGCCATGGGGTGTTCCACATAGGCGCTGTCGGTATATGGTAAGTATGTAAGTACATTGTATTGTATATACATATGATGATATATCCACATCTATAATCTATAAGATTCTATAAGTTGATTCATGGTATATCTAAGGTGATCTATCTTTTTTGCGTCCGTCCTAATAGCTGTAACAGTCAAAAAAAGCATTTCTTTATATTTTGGGCAAACGTTGTTTTGAGTGTTTTCCCTCGTGCCAAAAATCGTGCTCTAGATCGTGCTCTTTGGTGCTCTCCCTCGTGCAAAAAATCGTGCTTTTTGGTGCTCTCACTCGTGCCAAGAATCGTGCTTTTTGGTGCTTTCCCTCGTGCAAAAAATCGTGCTTTTTGGTGCTCTCACTCGTGCCAAGAATCGTGCTTTTTGGTGCTTTCCCTCGTGACAAAAATCGTGCTTTTTGGTGCTCTCACTCGTGCCAAGAATCGTGCTTTTTGGTGCTTTCCCTCGTGACAAAAATCGTGCTCGAGACTGTGCTTTTTGGATCTTTTTGGTGCTTTCCTTCGTGCATTGCTCTCCTTTGTCCAGACATCGTGCTCTAGATCGTGTTTTTTGGTGCTCTCCTTCGTGCACAAAATCGTGCTCTAGATCGTGCTTGCTGTTACAGCTATTAGGCTTGTGTCAATATCTTTTGAACTAAACCAGCCAGGTCAACCCGGCGATAGCTTGGTGAAGTCGGAACTGGAGAAGGTGCACCGCTGGTGTCAAAATACGTCAGTGCATGGGTTTATTATATATATATATTTATATTGATATATATATATTTATATTGATATATATATTAATATATATATATAAATGTTTATTTACATATATATATATCTATTTATATATATATATACTACATACAATTATGTAGGCATTTGGCACAAGCTTTAGCATGCCACTTTTCAGCGTTTCGCCGTTTCCTACTGCCGCCCCCTATAGTGCTTTTCCGTTTTCAGCCATGGACTATTCGGCCGACCAGATCGCGGTTCTGAGCCTTCCCTATGACGCACTTGATCAAGTTTCCGAACCAAATCTTTGCACTGGCCTATCTACAGGATCGCCCCTGTTCTTCAGGTCTGCTTACCGAGACCTATTTATCACGTTTTATATTGCTGGCCTAGCTGCAGGGTGGCTCCTGCCAATGTGCGACAAAGGTGCTCATTATTTTCTCTTGGAAGGACGCAGCATACTTCACTTCGCTGGCCTAGCTGCAGGGTGGCTCCTGCCCTTACTCGAAAAGGATGGACAATATTTCTCAAGTTTTAAACTGACAACAATCACCCACAACACTTTCCTCCACCATCTGAGTGCGCATTTTACCTGATTCACCAACTTTGCCAAATGGCATTTTTCACGCCTACTTGATTTTGTAAATCGTTTCATTGCTATTGCCGCAGAGCAAGGTCAGCAAGGTCCATGTTTTCCTATGTTGGTAATTGACTTTAATCGGTTGACATTAATGAACTCAAGGGATTTGATCTCTGTTTTGTGCAATCCCACATTTGCTCCTAGCATCCCCATTGTTACTAACCCCACCATCGGCGCACAGGACTTCCAGGCAACAGAGCTCCTGCAGGAGACACAGATTCCAGGACGTCGAGTCCAAATCTATGAAGATACATCCTAGAAAGATACATCCCAGAGTGACTTCAAGTCACTCTTTCAGAGTCGAAGACTCATGGGACCTACGGTCCCAACCAGGTGAGCCCAACACTGGGCAACTGCAAGGTCATACTACGGACTCTTTCAAGCAACATTGCTCCTCTGGTCAGGAAGTCCGATTTTATAAAGATGGGCCCTATAAAGATACACCCCAGGGAGGCATCAAGCCTCTGGCTCAGCGGCTTCAGCCCTTCAGATTTCGCTGACCGCGAGCTCAGCGAATGCCAGAAACAATCAATCTCACACTTTGAGGGTCTTATAGTCAACAAATTTATGAAGATTCATCACGGCAACACCTCTTTGTATTGTCCAAAGTGTAATTGTTTTATGGGGCACTACTATTTTTATAATTCACCAAAGAAGTTCCATTCTAATCATTCTAATCCACTCAGGCTTCAAAATGCTATGATGGTCCACCATGTGAAATATTGTCACAACCATACGTCCTTATGGTTTTTCAGAAGGGGCAAAAAGCAGTATCATTCCTTCACTGGTCATAGTAGAACTCTCATACATCAGCAGCTGGAGCTGGCAGGGGCCGCCAGAGGCTTGCCCGGAGACCACGGTCCACCCAAGAGTGTATTTTTCTCCTACCCGTACAATTGCCTTCCCAAATGCCAGACAAGTGGTCACGAACGCTGGCGTCGTGGGACCGTTCGCACCAAAGTTGTCGATCGCAACAAAGAGCCTACAAGCTCGACATGCCAAATATAGTGAATCAAGACGCGAAAGCCGGCGACTTTATCGACAATGGAACTCGCAGTCACGCAGATGGATGGGTTCCACCTTGCAAATTCCATTAGGTCCCGCGTATAAGGTGCAATTTAGTAGCATTTCCTAAAAGCCGAACTACCCTCCACATTTCTTATCCCATACCACTTCTTCTAGATCAAATTTCTTCAAGACATAGATCACGCGAGACTGGTTAGATGAACCCCCATCACGACTGGATAACTTTTCCACAACTAACAGAAAGCTTCAACTTTACTCCTGGAACATTGAAACCTTCATCGGTACAGGCAAATATTCACAATTTCAAGAAGTTATTCTAAACTGCCACAGGGCATTTTCTGTTTACAAGAGACTAAGGCTACCCATACTGATATCATTAAGCACCCCCCACGCTCACATTTATTTATCCGGTACCCCAGAGGATCCACACCCTGGGGCCGGCTTTGCGATACCTTCACCTCTTCTTCCCATCATTTATGACTTCCATCCATTTGACTCTCGTATTGCAGTTTTAATTTTGAACGCCCGACCACATCGAGTGGGCCTCTTTTCCATCTATGCTCCCTCTACCTTCCAAGATCATGCATTAGACCTCAAGCGCAGGCTACATTTTTGGGACAAACTCCAGTCCCTTCTCCTCCAGTCCAAATCCGAATTTATCCCCATTCTGATGAGCGACTTCAATACCCGACTTTACCAAAACCAGCTTGAGGGCCTTGAGCCCCACATCGGACCTTATACATTCTCCTCCACCATTGATGATGATCTCCTTCCTCACAACAACCTCTCTTTTTTTTAACTGAATTTATTCAAGACAATGAACTTTGTGTCGTCTCCTCAATGCGAAAACGCCCTCCCTCCAAACTAGTCACGTACCTTGAGATTACTCGCGACCCACCTCCCTTCTCCTCCCCTACCATAGACACATATGCGGCCCTAGACCATGTACTCTGTCGAATGGAACACCAGCATTGCTTTTGCTCCATTCTTTCTCTCCCACATCTTGCTCTCCCCTGGCATCATAGACATTTCCTCATTTCAGCCATAGTTCCACTCCCATTCTTTCACTCACCCAAACCTCCGCCTCCACCGCCAAAGCGTGACTTCTCCTCGAATGATTCCAAACTCGCATACCAACCCGTCGTACTCAGTGCCTTCGGCCTACCTTCTCCACCCTCCAACAACTTTGCTCCATTTCATATTTACACAGATGGATCTTGTCCAGACCAATCTAATATTTCTCCACATAACCCCGCAGCATTGGGCGTTTTCTATGAAAGTATTTTTCTCGACCTATACGGTCCAGTGGGATCACTCCCATTCTCAGTCAATGGATGCAACAACACCGCTGAACTCCAGGCACCGCTGGAAGCCATCAACAATAAGTGCAGCCGCCCTCCAGGAAGTTATCGACCCATCTCACCTGCCAACCCGATCTGCAAATTTTATGCCTGTATGATCCAGCAATGCCTCTCCCACTCTATTGACCAATATCTCCATCCACACCAATATGGTTTTCGCCAGAATCGATCTCTCTCCACTCCTTTATTTCTCCTCCGCCATCTCACCGAATGTTTTGAAAGGCACTCCACCTCTTTATACATCCTTTTTCCTTGACCGGCCGCAGGCTTCCGACCCTATCGGCCACCCTGCTGCCGCCTTGCAAAGGTATGTAGTCCCACCTCTTCTTGTCCAAGCCATCATGGCTCTTTATCACAATGGTCAATTCTTCGTTTCCGACCTTTCATTTCACTCCCCTCAATATACCTTCCGCCGAGGGATTTGGCAGGGCTGCCCTCTCAGCCCTTAGCTTATCTCTTCATCATCGTCCTCTCTGCTCTTACCTCCGATCTCCATTTCCTATTTCAGTTTTTTTTCCTATACTCCCTGGACCTACTCTTTTCAAAATCCGCTCACAGATGTTGAGTATGTGGACGACACAGTCTTAATTGC